AATCGGGGGCACTGTCGGTGGATCATTCGTCCCTGGAGTATCTACCGTGCTGCGCTAGTGGCTCACGCACCGAATTGGAGAGTGAGCAACACACAACCTTTCTTGGTTGCACCCTGAAATAAGGTAGCCCCGACGACGAACGAAGGAGGCGACGTGGGTGGCCCCGGAGAGATTTGCCTTCCGCTAAATATCGCCTTTGCGCCCTCGACGTGGGTGGCCCTCTCTCTTTCTCCCTTTCGCCTGCCGAGGGGAATCCTCATCCTCCTCGTCGCTGCTCTGCCCTCCTTCGCCCAGGAGCAACCGTTGTTGTCTCCTGTCCTCCTCCTCCCTCCTTCCCGCCCCCATCTTCACTTGCCTCCGTATCTCTCTCTATGTGTATGGGTATGATATTCGATCGCGACCGAGGATTCCACTCTCGGGAAACGGGAAACGGTTTGAAGGGAAAGGAGATCGGCTCGAGCACGATGAATGGGTGTTATTATAGGTAAAAGGTAATGAAAGATATTGTTACGCTGTAATAAATAGTACGCCGAGTATCCGAGGGAAGGGGCTGAACGGAGTGAGGGAGAGAGAGAGAGAGAGAGAGAGAGAGAAATAATGATCGGCGTTTCGAAGCTGATTCTCGGTTTATCGGAGGATAGCCAAGGCGACCCGTTTGAGGGTAGATTTAGTGTTTACGGGGGAATTAAGATCGATTAGAATAGGAGGAAGGGGGAAAACGTTTGATCGTTTTAGGGATTCTTTTTTTTAATAGTTTGGCTGGAGATATAATTTTAGATGATAATCATTCCCGTAGTATTAAAGTCGAATCGAGGAGTGTTTTTTTTTAATTTTTTCTAAATTTTCATTATTACTTTTAATCCTTGTAAGTGAGATTGAAATAAGAGATTTATAGTTCTATGTGAAAATATTTAATGTTTCAAAGAAGTTGAAAGAAATTTTTTCCCAAATAATATATTCATCGTCCTTTTGTTAAGAGTTCCACGTTGAGAATTTGTATACTAATTCGTTATTGAAAATAAATCAATCGTAATTAGGATCATTATTCAACGATCATTACATGTATTTAAAATATTCTATACCCGCGTGTTCCTAAATCTCGCACACTGGGAAAAATAACGCTAACAATTCCATCAAAAATTCACACGGATCCAATCGAAAAGAAGTCGGATGCTCGAGTGAATAGTTTGCAGAATCAATTAGCACCTAACAGCACTCGAAAAGCGGCACGCGGAGGAATGCGTCAAAGGATTGCTACTTCCGAGCTCGATCTCGCGCAACTATCCACAGATTCTCGAGATCAAGATTCCTTCGAGAGATCATAATAAGAAGATGGACGGGAAGAACGGGCAGAAAAACACATGGATTCGTGATAAATAACAGCGAGATTCGTGGGAAGGGGGCCGAGGGCATTTTTACGCGCCTCCTCGACAAGGAGAACAGCAAAGAGAAGAAGTGGAAACAAAACCGTTGGAAGGGGGGGACAAGCAAAGTCGAAACTCGTGTAACTCAGAGAGGAACAAAGTTGCATAGGTCGAAAAAAAAAAAAAAAAAAGAAAGAAAAGATACGACACGGCCAACAATAATATCCAGTATTTTATTCACTCTTCCCCCTTTCTTTCACCCCTTCTTACTTTTCACCTTTCCTTCTTGGACACGCGTGCGCGCGAGAGAGAGAGAGAGAGAGAGAGAAAAAGAAAAAAAGATCGGGCGATAGGTCGTGGTAGCGAAAGGGAGGAAAGAGAGCAACGAGAGAGTCGAGGAGGAGGAATCGAAGTGAGAGTGGGTCTTCTCCGGGGAACCAGCCAGAGAGGGCTGAAAACCAGCCAGAGAGAAAGGAGAGAAAGGAGAGGGAGTGGAAGGATCGAAGGGGGAGAGGGATACGAAGGAGTGATAGAGAGGGGAGGTCGGAGAGGCGACACAACGCGTGTGGTCCACCCCGTGCTGGACGACGAGCAGGTCGAGACCAGGACGACGACAGCATCTTATCCAAGACCTCCGGATCGATCGATCAATGGCGAGATCGATGCCTTCTCGGGCCAGACCGATCGAGTACGTGGCATGCTCGGGCGCACAAGTATTTTTCACCCTGCAGGCGGCGATCACGTGCATCTGAACCGCTTCGAGAACTGGTATATCGTAGGCGATATCCTTTATTTTTTTTTTTTTTTTTTTTTTCCTTTTCTTTTTCTACAGGAATTTTGGACGGAGCGTGGTGGTTGGGAATGTACGTTTGAGATAGGGGTGAAATTGATGTTAATTTTTGAGGGATAATTTTTTTCTTTTTTAGATGTAATTATCGGGTGGATACATCTTCAAACTTATTTCAATTGTTTACACAATCATTTACAAAAATCTGTTTCTATGATGATCCCTTCGTTATCTGTTACTTTCATCTCGATTCAAATGATTCGTAAGACCGAGAAGAGTCGTTTGGATTAATAACCAAGTTACTTGAAACGGCTGCAATTCGATATCTTGATCTTCCAATCAGTCAAATATATCTTCTGAACTCAAGCTTTTTAAATTCAAGTAACCTGAACTCGAAGCAGTGAGCGTTAAAATTTATTATTGTACATTAAAAATGCTTTACTTTTTGCTGTTTGCTTTCCTTTTACTCCGCAATATATCCAATATTCTTATCTTTCTTATCCTTTAATTCATCTTCTCACCTTAGCTCAATACGTAATTAAAACCTATCATTTCAAATCAAAGAAAAGTTCAAAGAACTTTAATTACTCAAAATTAATAACAGATCCATACCATATAAAATTTCAATATTATTTAAATAGAATTCAATCCAAGCTAATTGAACGAGGATAAAAAAACTCAAATCTGATAAGCAACATTCGTGTTACGAGAAATAATCCCAACTTACTCTGGATAATAATCTGAACGACTAATCTTAACGTTTCAATCTTCTCCAAGATCGTCTCATCCTGCTCGCCTCCAATTAGCAAACGAATCGAATAAGGGAAACGAACGAGGATCAATAATCGCGGTTGAAAACGCGTAACAGCGGATGCTGCATGGCTCATAATACCGAGACAGAGCCGGCCACCTAATGCTAATGCAACTACCATTAGCAAGTAGTGAATCGAATGTAAAGTCGGACGTAAGGTGGGACCACACAGGTCGACGTTGGAGGGTTATACGGGGCCAGCAGATGCAGTGCCCCATAAACAGCGGGGCGGGACCACCCAACGCGCCTGTTCCTTCGTTTCGTTCCTTCGTCTGTTTCCTTAATAACCACGATACCCTTGCCTGTTGCCCATCGCGAGAAACGCGTGCATACGCGCGACAGTTCGCGAGACCGAACGCGTAAAGGTGGCCCTACACTTGTCACGTGCCACGCCGCCATTACATAGAGATATATAACGATTCATAATTTTATAAACATCGTCAAAATTGGATATCAAAATAAAAAATTGAGGTATCAAGATTTTTTCTCTCTCTTTCTTTATAAAAGAAATAAATAAGAAAATGGAGCAATATTTCCTATATTCAAATATAATTTCTATATTCCTATATGAAAAAGAAAATATGAAAAAGTTTCACGAAGTATAAATTTGTTTCAAAAAGTTAAAATTAATTCTTCAAAATTCGGTCACTTTTCGAGTTCACTTTGCGAAACTCGCGAATTGTAAGGGATGGAAAGGAAAACTTTATGATTTTTTAATTAGATGTCGATCGAAATTTGATTGAAAGAATATGAAAAATCGGTGAATAATGATAATGGCGATCTTTTCTTAACGATTGTCATAATTTGATTGAAATTATGGGGGAAAAAGGATGCGATTAGATTAATTTTCTATGTTAATCTCGATCGTGGTATTACGGTTTGATTAATGCGCGAAAAGAAAATGATATGGTCGAGATTGTGTGGTGTCGTAAAGTGATGCTTGTACCGGTTTATGGAGTTCGCGTGTCGCCAACCCGTTTCATCGAATTCGACCCGGGCGGATTTCTTCGCGTCGCCTGTTTCGACAACGTTTGTCACGTTGCTGATCACATCCCAGAATGGGATGTGTAATAGATAGTGAACGACCTTTAGGTTTATACGATAGCTTTGCATATTCGTGAATACACGATCTGATTTCACAATGATAAGTAGACCGTGAAAGATCTTCGTGAAAATTCTTTTGAAATTGAATTTTGGATAATTTGTATATATCTCTATTTTTGCATATATTGCGTTTTTATAATATTTTATATTTTCCTTTTTTTTTTTTTATTTACAAAAGAATAATATTTAAATTCAATAATAAAGCTCTCGTTATAAAATGCTGTTTAATTTTAATTTTTGAAAAGATTTTTGAATCGAATAAATCGTGTAGAAAAATTTGTATAACTCGAATCTACTCTATTTCTCAAAATTTACAACGAAATAAACGAGGGAGCTGAATAAATTATCGAATAAACTATCATAAATTCAAAGTTGAACATTCGCGATAAGCAAATTTGATAAAATTACTTCGACGAATATTTTTAAAAAGCCATTACAAATATTGATTTGCCGTCGAATTAAAATTCAAGGCGTAACGCGATGTCGCGCACAGATACACAAGGGTAAATGGTTGTAGAAGAGTAACGTGATATTTTACAATTCCCGGGTAGATAAACCGAATGATTTTGTATATCCGGTTGTACCGTGTCACGCGCATTAATTATGGACGACGATCAAAACCACGTGTGGGAAACTGGCTACCTGTCTTCAACCCGACACGTGTGCGCTTTCTCACAGACCCATCTTGGATATAATACCGCGTCAGATTGACTCTTGAGAGGAGATAATGACAGTCAAAAGCTACTTTAGCGGAGTAACGATGCTTGTTCATCGGTCTTTTGCCTATCGAATACGGTGACAGCGTCCACTACGATTTATATCGGAAGACACGGGCAAAGAGTGGCGGAAAATAAGATTGGACGTACACATGTATACGCGAAATATAATATACGTGGAACGAGATAAGGAAAGGAGGATAATTATCCAGATTAAGAAACACCTCGACGATTTTTATGAAATCGTTTTTATCAAGATCAATATTTTTTTCCACATTATGGAAATGTTAATGCATTCGTGTGGCATTTTCGAAGAATCGATTCCAGAGGCTGAAACAAAAATTGATGCATCGGTTTAAGGTTTATTTATTAAGTTAGAAGCGTTATTAAATTTTTGCATTAGACGAAGACAAGAATAGAGTGGAATGGCGGTGTAACGGAGATAAATTACTTTATTCCTATCCATCGTTTAATTCAAATTTTTATTCTTTTTTAATTTTTTAATTCTTTTTATCTTTGCAATCGAATCCTTTCAAATTTAAAATTTTCAAGATATTTGTATATGTGAAATTATAACACGTTATTATTTTAATTTAGATCAATCAATATCAATTCGATAAAAGATTGTTTTATTCTTCCACGAATTGCCAATATATTACAAGTATTGATATTTTTCTCAATGAATGATACGAATTTATATTAAAGATTTCCTCTTCTATATATCTTGATTCAAGTTTTTGTTAACATGTCATAGGCCGAAATATTAATTGTTGTTCCAATTCTTCCGATGATATATGATTCTCTTCTTGAAACTCTGACGAAAATCATTTTTTTCTTTTTACGATCTTTAGACCGAAACCATTTCTATTTCTCGACATCTCTTTTTGACGAGTTTCTGCTTGTACAATCTTTCATACAATTTAATTTTCAATTTTTTAAAAATTACACTTTATTTTCTTTAAATTTATAAAACATTTTCTAATCAATTATTTCAAAGTTATCCTACTTATTCATCCTATAAAACTTTTTATTGAGATCAATCATCGACACAAAAATCAAATTCATCTACTACCAAACTGTAACTGTACAAAAGCAATTTATTAAATTCTGAATCATTAATCTTCATCACCTCCTAAAGTCTAGAATCCACGAAATGAAATATTCGATTCACAATCAGCTTAATCAGTGAACAGTTCGATTCACTTCCCCCTTTTTGTTCAACGAAATTCAACCCTCTCACGGCTTAGACACGTTCACGAAACATGATTTATATCGGCCTAATAGTTTCACGATGGTTCCCAAGCCAGCTTTCCAGAGGAGCCCATAATCCTTTTTATTACCTCAAAGACGTTTCACGGATGACGGGTCTATCTATGTGGAATTCAGGTATCATGCATCTAAAAAAGCTGGAGCCGGCAATAAAGTGTCCCGAAGAGTTCATAAAAGTCGCCGCTTTCACTGAAAACGCGCTCTCTTGTCTATTCGACAACAGCCACCGCGAGGCCATTAACTTTTACCTACACGCGATCCATCGGCTGTGTGTCGTGAACGCAATTTCCAGTATGTACCCTCTCTCTTTTTTCTTCTTCCTTTTCTTTCTTTTTTTTCTTTTTTTTTCACCTCTTTGTTTCTAGTCACGCGTCCGTTACACACTTGTCTTCCTCTTCTGTTTTTTCCTTCTTTTTTCTTTCTTTTTTCTTTTTTTCCTTTCTTTCTTTTTTTTTTTTTTTATTATTATTCTCTTCTTTTCTTTTCCCTTTGTTCCCTTTGGAAATCTTGGACTTCTAAGAAAGCAGCAAAGGATTGTGAGTCCTAGGGATTTGACCACCCACGTGGTTACGGAGGCTTTACAGCCTCCTTGAATGTCCGGATACGGGATATTTTCGGTAACTTTAAACCACAAAATGTAGCACGAGATTATACTACAATGTTCTCCTTTCCTTTTCGCCTTTTCTTTTCGAAAGACGCGGGGGGGGGGGGGAGTGATAGGGTAAACGGTAGCAGTAGGAAGCTGCTACGGATTACGTATTCGTTACGGGAGGAAAAGAGAGAGGAAGAGAATTGGATAAGATAATTCTTCTTTCTTTTTTTTGACTCAAACAGTTCTTTTCTCCTAATTAAAAGAATTACGTAAAATTTTAATAGTCTTCCTTTTGTGACAAGTTTTCGAGAAAACTGAACGTTAAATGTAAAATTTAGAAATGTATCGATGTCTGAAAAAGAATATAAGATATACAAGTGCGTTGTTTTGAATAATACGTATAGTATATTGTATATAAATTTTTTCAAATAAATAAGAACGAGATGTTTTTACATTATTTGATATACGAGTGCAAAACGATGAAATTTATCTCAAATACTTTTTGATGTTTTAAAAAAAAAAAATCTAAAAATAATCTTTCTCGTGAGAATGATTTTTAAAAATTTTCCATCCATCGTTCGCGTAGAAATCGAGCATGGAAATTACATAATGCGTAAAGTCCTCAACTTGAACAAAGATAGATTTTTCTTCTTTTCACGGTCCAGTGATCGATAAAGTAACGAGACAGGAAAAATCACGTAGGCAATTGAATCGATCGTTTTCATTATCGTAACAGGCGTGCGATTGATCGCAAATTATAGCTTGGTCATGCTCTACCTATTATTAATCAATTTGAGTAATACAAAGCTGTGTACATAACGTGATAAGGAACACAATGCAATTGCAATTTCTTGGATAAAATCTCTTGTCAAGGATCTCAATCGAGTTACAACTTGGCTGTTTCTTTCACGCAAGAAAAAAGACTGTTATTCATCGTGTCAAAGATCGTATGATGAATATAGATGAATTTCAAAGAGTAATGAAAAATTCAAGCATTCGTTTCTTCTTTGGACTCTTCAACTCATTATTACTATATATTAGTTGATTCCATTTTTACTTGGAATTGGATCCTGTCTTTCTATTCGAAGTTGATAAATTAGTTGGGGATTCATTAATCACTTTGTTTCGAATTAATTGCTGTTTCTGACTTGTAATACATTGTATTTGCTAATCGTATGCAAATTACTATGAATTCGAAATTTTGCGAGAGAACAGTTTTTCGCTTAATTATGACTAATAAATAAGTCTTTAAAATTTTTTAAAGACTTTTTAAAGTTACTTTAGTTAATAATTTCTTGAATAAAATAATATTATATTTGTCAATGGAAGATTGTTTGTTCCTTTAATGCAATCTTTTCCTTGGAAAATTCTTTTAATGTTATCAATAATTTTTTACATATTTATAAATTCCAAATCTATATTGTTATTCGAATTTGGAATATAATTATATTACAATATATTAATAAAATTATATTGAAAATTGTGTTCACCTATAAACTTTAAATTTAGTCATTTATTTTTGAACAGACTTACAGATTGATAAAATTGATTATTTCATTATGCAACAATCTAATTATTAGTAAAAATTAAAAGAAAATACCATTGAATTGCGAGGTTAATTTAATCAGTTTCTTCTTTAACCCGATTCTGAAGATAATGTTGCCTATAAGCTCCTGTTGGATCATATTTTGCTTCGAGAAGAACCCATATTTCTGGTTTATTATCGATCAAGAATTGCACAACTTTATCGGCAATTTCTTTCTGTTTTTCACTGCAAGGTGAACACTCGTTCTCCAAAGCATCGGGCAGATTTTCTGTAATTTTAATCAAAAATTATTTACACGTTAATAAGATAAACTTCAATTATAATATCAAATATAATTTAATAAATAAACTTGTTTAATAAACTGATATCTTTCGTACAACAACTTTTCTCTTCTATTTTTTCTATTCCACAAAAATCGGGAATGCAAAATCAGGAAAATTTTGTGGCTGGAAATAGAATAAAAACAATAAGATTTTTCGTTGGAGGCGATCGAGAAAATTTTCTTCGAGAAAAAAAAAAAAAAAAAAGAATATGAAAATCGATCGAATGTATCGTCCTCGAATTTAGCATCCCTTTTTCAAGTTGATCGCTTCCTTCGAGTCGAAAATATTCGTGGCAAAGAATCAAGCGGATAAATTCTATGCACGAATAATTGTAACACGCGAGGATCATTTTTTCCGGCTAGGAAAGAACACCGATTTAATGTGGCGGCCTTGCTTCTCGGGAATAGTAACTACGCTCATAAAATTGCGGTCGGCCGTGAAACGGCGGCGTTCTGAACATCAGTAGAATATGCATACGAGCATATGCGAACGTATCGTAATTGACTCGTTCAACATTACATCCGAGCGTAGGTACGTTGTAACGACTTTCGCGATGATGCTCTGAAACGACACTGCTGCGGTTTTTCTCTTTCCTCGAACCGTAGTGAACCCCTTTTATTCCCCATCTTTACTCCTTCCCTTCTTTTTTGCGGTTTTAACAAAATTACGATCGTAATTAATATTATTAGACACGGTTGTCAAAATATTCGAAGGGGAAAGAATAAAAGAAATATTATTTTACCTCCAAGCTTTTTTTTTTTTTTTTTTAGAATGTTTAGAAAATGAATGAGCACCACTTTTGTCTTAGATACTATTTTCATTTTTATATGTAATGTCTGTAAAAAATAACGATATAATAATTTGATTAAATTAATTGCTTATTAAGAAGATTAACTTTTTAAGAGGATTTAAAATTTGTTCTTCCAAAGTTATTAATTTATTACAGAATTATATATAGCTATGATATAAATTATACAAAATTTCTTGCTTACTCTTAAGTTCAGCAGCGTCGGGGGTGCACGGGCCTTGATCCAGCAAACAGTTCACGTACCCGTTCAAAAGTCTCTCGGTGTTGAGGACAACATCGATGTCGACGTTGTCGTACTTCGTCGTGTATTTGTCTTCTGAGAATACTTCACCGAGCAGGAAGCAAACAGCCACGAGAGCAATCAGTATAGTCTTCATCTTGGGGAGAGAGATTCACCGTTGTTGACTTTTTCGATTACTGAACGTTGAGCTCGTTAGCGTGGAGATCTTATATATATATGTATATTTCGTTGCATGGCTCGTTAGTTGCACGAATTACTTATCATACCAAAGGAAATTGTATCTACTACGTAATTCGTTAGGAAAAATGCGCACGAAAGGGTCATTTCCTCTTGAATGCCGAGTTTTGATGAATCAAGCGATTCATTGTATACATTGAATATGAGTTTATTTGAACTTGGAATGGATTATGTCCAATCCATTTTATTATATTTCTGAATATTTTATAATATCGGAATATTAAAATGATAATATTAGATGAAATAATAAAGTTCGAAAATTGCATCTGTCTTCGTAGGAAAAATTAAATTATTAAAAATATTAAAATTATGAAGAGAAGATAATAGAAGGGGTAAAAAGAGGGATAAAAATATGGTGAAACAATGATTAAATTCAATATCCTTCTTCCAAGGGGCATTATTTTTATCGTACATATGTGAACAGAATTTAACCAATTTGCGAAATCTCATGTCCTCGTGTATTCGAGGGGATTCATCGTATAATCGCAACATCCATTTCCTTGAATTACGTGAAATGGATGTAAATCGTTCTGGGACTCGTTATACTTGAGCTAACGTTATCTTGATGCAATGTTGATTTCATGGAAATTTAATAAAGAGGCGCATAACTCCCAGGAATCGACAAACTATTGTATTGTTAAACTAGAAATGATTCTACTTCGAGACATTTTGTATTCCATCCCAGGATCCCGCGTAAATTCAATATGGTAAAATGTACGTTTTAAATTCTCGTTTCTTCTTCATGGAATCTGAGATTTCTTGTCGATGTTGCTACGCGAGATTTATGCGTAGAGATGACCTTACTATCTCCAATGATATAGTAATTTATCTAAAAATAACCAGTGAATAGATTCGTGATTAGTATCGTTAGAGCCTTGAGAAAAAAAAAAATTGGTGCTACGATAAACGTATTTTTAACATAATACGTATTATTAATAATCGAGATTTGTATAAATTTATTGAATTATTAAGTTTTCCTTTGTACTCAAATTTCATTTATTTAATTATAAATCGAATTTATTCTAACTTTTTTTTTTTTTTTATAAAAGTTTGTATTCAATAAAGCTTAATATTAAACATCAGGGCATCTTTTTCATTTTTCATATTTCTCGGAAAATAATTTCTTTTAAAAATATTTCTTATCCTCAGGAATCATTTTTCATCGCTTCTTTTCATTTTCCACTTTCCGGAATTATATTCAACGATTAATATATAACTGACATTCAATTAAAAAAATCACAGTATTAACATATGAATTATTAACATACTTCATCTCCAACTTCTTTCCTTTATCTCTATCATTTTTTTCAAGAAACTTAAATTGATATACTCAACAATACACATATACTATATCCTTGAATATTGAAGATGTACTTCAAATATGAATAACAATTAATATCGTCCTATAAACCAATATCCTCTTTTATATATAATCGATCAAATAAATCATCATAAATCTAGAAATCACTGCGTTGAGTGTCGTATTCTTCCGTCTCCGTGTCAGAGAGCTCTGCGCAAGCGTAGCAAATCCTCCCTACATCCCTCCAACATTCCTCGCAATACAAGAATGGACAACTCGGATTGGGGCAGGGCCGATACCTTGGCCCCTTCCTGGGCTCCGGATCCTCGCAAATCAAACACCTCTCCCTTGCGCATTCGAAGTATCTCAACCATCCAAAACGTTTCGGCCACTTGAGCCTGAGCGCCAACCAGAAATCAATCTCGTACTCCAAACGGCGTGTTCTGGCCATGTTCCTCACCTTGGCCTTCATGAACTTGGCGTGCATAAGCCTTCGCCGTAGAGTCTCGTTGTAGAGGTACAATACCCGCCTCTTCTCCCTTCTTCGATAAAAGAACGAGCAAATGCCGCGACGCATCCTCTGCGTGTATATGGAACCGAAGATGAGAAGGAAGACCAAGAAGAAGGTACCGTAGATCTTGAATATTATGTAGCCAGGAAGTTTCGTGGGTCGTGGTAGGCAAGCCTTGTTCGTTACTACGGTTTTCACCCGTTTCTTCACGTTGAAACCGCGGACCGCGCTTCGAATCAACGACGCGATCACCCCGGTACCTCGGATTTCCAGGCTCAGATCGTGGTGGCCTCTCTGAAAGAAAAGAAATAAAGGCACGTTAGAGGGGTTATGTTATGTTTCTAATTCACAGGAATGTGGATAAAAATTTTTTATTTCAATATATTTCATATTTGAATTAAGGGAATAGAGAACGATCGAAGATCATTCCACTTGATATAAATGTTGGACGAAGTTTGTTCATTGAGTTATATGGAAATACTTCAATTTGTTGTTTTTCAATTAATTATGCATTTCAAAAGCATCTCCTCGATGCGTAATAAATCCAATTCGCATTTAATTAAAGATTACTTCTTAAGATTATCATTTTACCTGAGTATATTCCATGTAAGCGTGCCTTCTGATTATATCCAACACTTCGTAGAATAGCCAATCCAGGATTACAAAAATGGTGACGATGATGAATTCAAGAAGAAGTTTAACCAGCTGACCTATCAAGTGAAGTCCTTCGATTTTGGTCGGTATCGGATGGTAGGGGTCGATGAACTTCCTCTTCTCGAGTTTCTTGAACGGCAACAAAGTCAAACTGCCACGAACTTTCCTTCTCGCGTCTATTCTCCGGAAATAAGACGTCACGTAGACGTTGTCGAATTCGATATCTGATAAATATTTGTCATTGTAACTCAGAGCGTCGAGAATGATCTTCAGGAATATAAACGACAAGCATCTCTTTATGAGGGTCATCACGGACTTGAAAAGTTTCCTTCGTACAGAGAATTCGTGTACAACAGCTTTGGCAGCGTCCTCGGTATCTTGAAGATCCAAAATCACCGGTGGTACTTTCACTTTGTATTGGAGTTTCGCATCTTTCAGGCTCCTGCTGAATTCGTCTCGGGCACCTTTGAAGAATGATCGTCCCGTTGAACTTTAACATAGGAAATCGAGATTCACAAGCTGTGGTTCAAGTGCAATTGACACGTGCAACGTGTCAAAGGAAGAAGAAGAATCTTTCTTAAAAAAGAAAAAAAATAAAATTTTCTTCTTCATCATTCGTTATTTGATCAAATAATTGAATTTATTTGAGCTCAATTTTTTATTTTGATTCGTTCCGCGTGCATAATTTTTTGACAACTATTGATTAATTGTTGAATTTAAATCTGAGGTTCAATCATATCCATTTATAACCATTTATAATCATTGTCAGACACACGTCGTTCAATATTCATTATGGTTTTTATAAATCTTTTTTAATGCCAATATCTATCAATCTATTCTCAGATATCTCTTACAGATATACTGAGAAATGATTGAAGAATTGAAATGTCAGAAAAGATGAAAAATTTTTGAAAAAAAAAAAAATAATAAATGACGTATGCATCTTTTCAAAAAATGGACAGAACGAATCGTGAACAACTTTTAAAAATCAGAAATCAATTTATTTTGCACATTTAGTTATTTTCGAATTTTGGTACATGCATTATTCAATAGAATTTTAATCTTATAAAAAAAAAAAAAAAGATTAAATTTTTCTTCAAATTTTGCTAATTTTCGAAATAATCTAATTATATTGAAATATTTAAAGAAAAAATTAATGTATTCAATTTTTCGATTAATTTTTATGAGATATTAATAAGAAAGTTAAAAGATTTAAATACGTACTTTTTAAAGCGACGTATCCCTCGCCTATACCACTATCGACTTTTCCCTCAGGATCACAGATACTAGAACCACCCAATGCTTGGACCAGATTACAGACGAAAGTCAGCTTCATTGGCCAACATATTAGCCAAGCAACAAATACAGACACTTTCTCGTAACATTTGTCATAAGCGGTGCCAAACATATCCCTAAAAAAATATAAATTTTATACAAATATAAATTCTAATTAACTATATTTATAAATTTAGATATATCGTTGGAAATAATAGAAGAGAATTTTTCGTGCCAAGTATAATAACGAATGACAATTAGACAATTTTATAATTATAATAATTTTTAAACACACCTACATCTTTGTGCACCTCGGCTAAGTTGCTCTTCGCATCGAGCTTCAATCTTCTTCTTATACTTAGCTTCGTACACTTCACCTTCTGATTTGGCACTTTCAACTTTCTTCTCGTGCTTTTCCTCCATTTCTTTGCTTCTTTTTGAATCACCTTGCAACTCGTCTAGATAATCGTTCTCCTCTTTTAACCGTATCATTTCTTCTTCCCCTTCTATTTCTTCGACAACTGGACTCATCAAATCCCTGATCGAAGAGAGGGTGTCTTTTATCTCGCTTGCATCCGCTTTCATAGCATGGATTGCCTTTTAAACAAAGGTAATAATATTAATAAATTTCGTTACAAAAATATACGAAGCAATGAGATTGAATATATATGTATATATGATCTGATTTTTTTACATTAGATATTATTATTATTAATAAAGTTTTATTTATCACAAATATACTAATTATTATCGATGTTAAAAATATACATTCAATGTTATTCAAACTTTATAATATAATGTATTATATTTTATCAATATACGTGTACTTTTATTCGTATTATAAAATTAATTAAATTAACTAACTAATTGTATATTGTAAGATATAATAATAAACATTATTTTTAATTATTAATTTGTTATTATTTACTTATTATTTCTAATAATCATAAAAATCGTATATTATGTATATCATTAAATCAAAGTGTTCAGAATAATTATGAATGTGAGTAAACATGTTATATAAGTATATGTAATGTACCTGTTGGAATGGCTTGAACATTAAATCGAATCTTGTCTTGGTAAGATTGTATGTCAGTTGTGATGTGCATCCAAATGTTCTTATTACTTCCTTAGTGTTAAATAACAAATTAAACAATGGTCCAGCAATTACGTATCCAAAAATCAATGCTCGTAACACGCTTCGTCCAGCTCGTCCAAAAAATGTTGGAATCGTTAAAATGGAAATACATCTCACCTGTTATAATAAAAATAATATTTTTTATGTACATATATTATTTTATATAAATTATTGTATTACATTTTCAACGAAATATTTAACAATATTCTTATAAAATTTATAATTTGATTGAATAGATCATTAAAAATGAATTGAAATAAATTTTCAATTTCTATTTCTTTTTATTTGTCATGCATAAAATTATATGCATAGAATAATATATAAAATAGTCGATGGAAAAATATTGTGTATATAAATATCAATCATAATATATCAATCAAATTAAAAATACATGTGATACATTTAATCGTAATTGATTCAACTGATGAATAATATAATTATTGCAACTTATATAACGACATTGCTAAATGTTTGTTATCGTTTAACACATTATAATGTGTGCTAATAATAAAATAAGCGAGCAAATCATTAGAATATCTTATAAAACACGTTATTGCAACACTTATATCAATTTCATAGAATCATATACATTAATCACAATTGCATAAGAAATAAATATTTTCGCGACAAAACTCTATCAATTAGATTAACATATAAAAGATGGATAAAATTTGATCGGAATTTTTCTTTATAATTATATAAAAATTTGTATCTCTTATGCAAAAAAAAAAAAAGAAAAAAGAGAAAAATAATTATGAAAAATAATTGTGATTGTTAATTTCAAAAATAAAATTGAATTCACTATTTTAATTTTAATGTTATTTTGCGTTACATAAATTAATCATGTATTTAACAAAAAAAATATTTATTAGAAAAACAAAATTAATGTTTGCTATTAGATATTATTAAAAAAAAAAAATTAAGAATCAAAAATTTATCATTCACGCGTTATTCTTGCAATTAGAATTTTTATAAAGAATTTTTTAATTAATTTGATTTAAAATGTTTAAACACATAATACACGAAATGATCTTGCTATTTGCTTTTGTTTTAATGCAAAATTAAATCGTTTATAATTTAAGAAATAAATTCTTATCTGACAATTTTACATATCAGTTTGTTTCGAATCTTCTAAAGTTGTCTCAAGAATATTATAATACCTTGTGTGCACTTTCTCCATTTATCTTTTCTGTTTATCTTTTTCCCCAAATATTTTTTTTGTTATCTAATAATAATAATAAGAAAAGAGTTAAGGCACAAAATAATTGTTATATAAATTATTTTATATATTTAATTTTACTAAATAAATATAAATAAATTATATTTAATAAATATCTAAATTAATATTTAAATTCAATAACAATAAAAATTATAAATTTTATTTCCACATTAGAGCTTTCATGATTTCGCGTTTGTAATGAAAATAAAAATAAAATTTAATCAATTCTTTAAAATTTAATTAAAATTTTCCTCTCCTTAAATTAAATATTTTAATATCTTTTAGTTTTATGTTAGAACATTGATCAAATTATTTTTCATTGAAAACTGAACGTGTTAATAATCACCTGAATCGAAACAGCACATCCAATCGATAACATCAAAATCAGAATACCACCGAGACACACGGTGGTATATGCGTCGAATTGTAAATCAACGATAATGAGTTCGTACAAAAGAACACCCATAAAAAAGCCAAGAAGGAAACCGATTATGGCACGTGAGGTCTTGTGAGTGCCTATCGGGTCGAAAGTAATGTTAAACAAAGTTGGGAAATGCTCTTGGTAATGCTTGAAAAAATTCTTCTTGAATTTCTCCACTCGTAGACCGATAATCGTTACATTCTCCATTCTTGGTATTTTTTTTTTTTTTTTTTATTTTGCGTGGAAAAGTTCAACTTCCAATATTCTGCGTAATCAATTTGTGCAACTCATGTGCGACGCGACATATAGTCGCCTTATTGGTTAGAGAAGAAATCCTTGACATATATTTTCGAGTCCTTACTTTACTTTCACCTTCTCCAAAGTTCTTGTTAATTATCAGAGTCAAACACCTTGTCTCTCTAAAGTCGAGGAATTTCAACAGGATTTGTTTTTGACAAATACATATATCGAGGAGAAAAATTCGTATTTTGTAACTTTTAGTGCAGTGTAGGAGGGAAGAAATTTTCTATTGGATAATCTCATTTCAAAAATAAATTGCTGTTTTTTTTTTTTTTTTTTGACAAATGAATTAACGATCTTCTATTATTCTTCTTCTATTTTCAATTTCCATTTTGATTTCCAATTTCCAAGCGGTTAATTATGGCAATTGAGAATTATGGAGATTAAATTTATCGCTGAATAATGAAATATTGAACTTTGCTTTGGCTACGGGAGAAAGTTTAAACTTTGAAAAGGAAATACACGATATTCGTGTATACTATTCAAATATAGTATTGCATAATACGATTAACGATTTATAAGGGAAAGTTTTTGTAGAAAATAAAAGATAGATAGAAAAAAATATGAATATTGAAAATGAGATACAAAAAATGAAGATTTCTTTCTGCACTTAAATTGCAAGATATTATTATTTTTAAGAATATTTTTAAATTCATGATTTCATCGATGATCAGTTAATATTATTGTAAAATATAATTTAACCTTAATTTTATTCTAAATATCATCTATATGTAAATTAAAATTTCAATCATTTAATTATATGAAATATTTATAAAAAATATTTTAATAAAAAATTATCTGATCATTTGAAAAAAATCACGGCTAAAAAATTAAATTACTTATGCATTCTAATGCTATGATAACTTTGTAAATACTTTGTAATGAGACTTCTTCTGTCAGTAAACATTAGACACGAGGAAAATAGAGGACTTTATATCGAAATTGAATTATTAAAATTACAAAGATCGCTTTCAAAATTATATAATCAGTCGTCGTTCGATATTTCTTACCGGTTTTAAAATGATACGATGGATGACCATATATCACACGATGAATACGAAATAATGCTTTTTTTTTTCGTGCATGAAATTGAAAACAGGAAAACGAATTTAAAATTTTATCACGTCTGGTCAACTGATCCCCCTCGTCGAAATTTTTTTTTTTTTTTTTCAAAAACAAACAGTTCATAAATTCACAAAAGACGATTTTATTCCTGTTATAAACTTACACTAATTGTCACGTCGAGATTGTTTTCCGCTTCTTTCATATTTACTACAACTGCTTATTATATCGTCTACATATATTAATCAAGATTTTGAATAATTTTTATAAATGAATCTTCAATGATGATTCTCAATTTATTGAATTAAACATTAATGCCGAGCTTCTTCGCTTCTTCCTCGAATTTGACTCTATACTTCTTGTCTGGGTCGTATTTGTTGGCAAGGGCATCCCACAATTCTGGCTTATTCTCGACCAAGAACTTGATCACTTTCTTGATCACGTCTCGTTGCTTCTCAGAGCATTTTTTGCAATCGGTGGCCAGAGCGTCAGGCAAGACTCCTAAAAAATGGAATTATTAATTAGAGAAAAATAATATCAAAATGAAATATATGATATATGTGAGATTATTAAATTAATAAGCTATATTATATTCTACTATGTTTTTATATAAAAAACTCTGTTATGTTTTAACCCTGTATAATTTTATATTATGTGTGACTTAAAAATTGACATCTTTTTTCTAAATTTTATTCATCATTATATATTGTATTATTTATTATTACATCGTCAAGCCATAATACCAAATGATTTATTTGCAATAATCGATAATTATTTGAAATATTAGGAAACATATAAACATTAAAAAATTCGAATCAATCAAATAAATAATATCCATTAAATAATAAAACTAATCAAATAAAATTATAAATTAAAAAAGTTAAAAAAATATAATATAAATTTCTAAGAAATTTCAAAATTTATCATACTTCTTATAGTTTGTTAAATACAATTTGATTTTCTTCTTTTTTTCTTTTGTTTTTTGTTTTTCTTTATAAAATAAATAAGATTTTGTTATACGTACGTTTGAGTTCATTTCCTTCTGCTGTGCATCTTCCTTCATCCATCAAACACTTGAAGTAATTGTTCAACAAACGATCACTATGCAGAATTTCGTCCACATTAATATTGTCAAATTTAGTTGTATATACAGGTTCGTCTGGACGAGCAGCCACGAGGACAATGGCCGCCATAAGGACCAAACAAACTATTGAGACCTTCATGATTGCTATTAAGAAATTAAGAGTTACAATTAAAAACACTTTTATAAATCCAAATCAAGGCATCCAAACATTAAAAAATAAAAACTATTTTTTCCTGAAACACCATTTGAAAATTTAATATAAAAAAACATAATAAATTCGAGATTAAACAAAATTTATATTTTAAAATTAATTTTGAAAAATCTAACACAAGATTAAAATAAATTTATAACGTAATTAGATTCGTTACGATAATCTATATATTAAATGATGAATCCTTACATTTGCTGTATAAATTGATCGATATTCAAAGATAATTAAAGAATTTATGAAGTAATTCATACTTTGTAGACGCGCGAAACACTCACCTGGACGTGTTAGCTGCTATTAGTTGTACGATTGTAAAAGTCCTCTGGCTCATGGCACTTATATATGTCCGCTTACTGGTGGTAGGATTAATCGTGGAGGTCCATAATGGTCGAAGGTGGGAACAATGACGACCGAACTCTACCTGGAATACTCATACTGTACTTTTACCTTCGTTTTATTCGAACTTCTGGAAATATTTGATTTTTTATTATTACGCATTTTAATGAATTTTTTTATTATTACACATTTTTATCGTACTTGATTAATCAATGTGACAATGTATCCGTATTTACTTCTAGTTTCCATTCATGCAAAATATATTAGTGTTTTTTTTTTTCTTATAGGAAATTGAATAATTAAAGAAGAGGAAATAGCGTGAAATAATAATATTTTGTTTTTTATTCTTGAGCTTAATATCAAAAATTTGAACAAATAAAAAGACCAAATAGGAAATATAGAATAGAATATGAATATAAATATATGAATTTTTTTACTTTTTTTTTTATTTTTATTTAAATATGAGGTATTAATTAATCATAGTTATAAAAACTTCTCTTAAATAATAAGATATAAGAAAATTTTATTATATTATTAAGAATACGATTTATTTGTTTTCTGCAATCTATTAATAATTTATAATAATTTATTCTTTTTTTAACATATTTAATATTTAATTTTAAACTTATATATTCTACCATTTTTTTTTATGACGATTGTTGGAAGATCATAATAATTAAAAGTGTATACTTAACATAACGAAAGAATGTAAGAGAACGTAAGAAAAACATTAAAAGTCTTTTTATTTCTATTTTCTTCCGTCACATTGAGAAACAAAATATTCGAATAATATGTTAATTTGATTTCGATATTGCGTTCAGTTTTTTACTTAATTAAATCTTTAACAAGAATGAAGAAAAAAGTTAAGAAATTTTATATTTTTTCTTATATATATCACTGAGTAAGATTACATTATGAAAATGATCATTAATTACGTAATATCTAGTGTAACACAAATTCAATTAGATAAATTTAAATATGTTTAAAAAATTATAATTTTAAAATTAATTCACATTGTGATATTTTTATTGCATATATTTTTTCAATTTATATTTTATTCACGGTATAATAACCGCAAATAAAAAGTATTCATAAAAACTTGCTCTTCAACTTCTAGTTAATCTGTTTATTATGCTTAAAACTAGATTTGAAAATAAAAACCATGATTTTATATGATTACGCATTAAATTAAAAGATATATTGCTTCCTTAGTTTTATTTTTCATGTTGTATTTTAAACTAAGTGTGAATAATTAAAGTAATTATAACTATTTAAAAAATTTGTTATTAAAATTATTAATTATATCTTAGAATATTCGTACAATATATAATAAGTGTTATGTAATATCTTAAAATAATTTTCTGTTAATAATTTTCTGTCAGAATAAAACAATAACAATTAATTTGAAAACATTAAATACGAAATATAAAATCAAAATATTATGAATTTAATTTTAATAAAAATATTAAACTATTAATATAAAAATATTATAACAAATAAAAACACGTGTTATAAAAATAATTTGTATTTAAAAACATGCTAATCTAATTCTGAGTTCAAAGTTATTTTTCTCTTCAACAAATAAACTGAAAATAAACTATATTTTTAAGCCAATCTTTTTTATTTTGTGCAATAGAATTAGAAAAACAGATTTCATTTCTAAAAAAACAAGATAAATTATTTTTTATTCTTCTATAAACATTTATTTATTTATTTTTGAATTTCATCACTATGAAAATTATTTTATTTATCCGATAATCTTATCCTATGTTAATTCAATCATTTAAATAATTCTGTCATAAATATCTTTATGTATTTATTTCTAGAACTTTCATTCAACGAACACTGTCAGAAATTGAAATAAACAGATAAATGCGAGATCTCGTGTATGATAATAATATTAGAATGTTTTATTCACTCTCCGAGAGAGGAATTTATTATCAGAATTTCATGGAATAGATGAAAAAATGTTATATTAAACAATCAATATTACTAAATAAAAGTAACATGATATTGAAACAATTTAAAGGAAATAATATCAAAATAAATTTATAAAACATGGAACGTATTCTGTAATTCTAGACTATAATTTCAACAGTGATTCATTTAAAAATAATTATTGAAAAGAATGTCTTTAATGAAAAATATTCTTGAAGAATGTATGTAAATGTGTTATGATATAAATTTTTATCAGGATGAACAATTACAATAATTATAGTGATAATAATCATTATAAGTAAAAAATTTTTAATTAATTGATTTTTATTTTATGAATCATCATTTTTATCCATATATCACCATAATTAATGTATTTTTTATTTTTCTTAAAGAATATAAGATTGATATAAGAATATAAGATAATGATGTCATATTTTCGCATAAAAAAATAAAAAAAAGCAATATAAAATATATTATATTTATGAATCAGTGATATATTTTTCTTATTTTCTTCTTGAATTTTTCTTTTTTAATTTTAATAAAAAATTGTATTTATTTTGAATTGATATTTTGTTTTTTAAAATTATATAATATATTTTTTTTTATTTCACTATATAATTTGAAAAATATTTATTAATATTAATGTTTTAATAAATTCAAATAATTAACCGAAAATAGTATCGGTTAAAAAAACAAAAAAAGAAAATACTTTTTTAACATATAATATATAAATACGAATATTGTTCTCAAGTGATTTAAAAAAAAAGAAGAATAAGATTTAAATTATTTTCATGAAAAATGAAAAAATTACAATATTTATACAATTATAACGTAAATAAAAAGATTAAAAAATGCAAAAAAAATATTTAAATTATCAACGAAGGACGTATAAAATGAAAAAAAACGAAGTTACAAAGACGTCAGAAACTTTAATTCAAGGAAGTTCACGATTTCTAACATGACGCATTATACGACACTCGTTCGATCGTGATCCTTTATGCGAAACATAGGTTACACTGGCAATTATAATAATAAATTATTCTAATTGCGATATTAACTTTACATATCACGTACCGAAGATCGTGTGAATAATACGTATAAGGTTGAAATTTTAAAATTTAATTTTTATGTTAATATAGTTGAATTGAATAGTATAATAAAAAGGAAGACTGCTTAGAAACCATTAAAAGAAATGTTTTCGAAGTTAATCAAGGTCTTAGAAATTGCAGATATTTGATTACAGATATCTTTCTATTGCATAACAATTGATAATTTGATAATTAAGAATATAAAATCATGTAATTATCCAAAGTATATATAATATATTGCATAAAGTTGTAATATTTGTATATTTTAATTTAACATTCAAATATATCAATATGAAATTATATTCGATAATTGTGATAAAAGTTAATAATTTTTTTACTATCATATTTTATATTTTACTTATGTGATAAATATTATGAATTGAAGATACGTGAAAAATTAAAGATTAAATCTTTAAATTGTAAAAGAAAAATTGTGTAACGATGTTTTTTTTAGAAAATTTAAAAGGTAAGATTTACATTAAAATCAAAAGAAACGTTCATAAGTCTAGGAATTGACCGGAGTAAATGTTTGCTTGAACAGCGAAGAAAAAGATGTTTTCTGTGTAATTCTGACTCATCCTAATACTTACTAAATATTATTTAAACAATTCATCTTCAAATATATTCATATTATAAGTAATCCTCGTAATAAAAAAAATACGCAAAAAATAATTAGTTTACAAAAAAATATATTATAGAAATTAAAAATATTCTGATAATATTTATATATAATACTGTAAGATAGATACATATATAATATACATATATTTGCTATCTTGTTTTAATAAAAAAATCTAAAAAAGAATGATAAAAATATCATATATCGATATATTAAATAACCGCATATTTAATCATTTTTAATATTATTTTAAATATTTATTTAAATAATAAAATAAAATTTGATGAAAGAGATAATTTATCAACAAATATTATTCAGCAAAATTTAAAAAAAATTAATCATTTCGAGATTATGATATATGAGAAAAGGATAATTTAAGGAATAATTTAAAAAATGGTACGAAATTAATAGAAACATAATTTTAAGGGAAAATACCTATTGTACAGTTTATTTTATACATTCAACGACTGTTTGATTCAAGTACAAGAAAGCATTTCGCTTTGAAATATTAATTCTTCCATTACTTCTAGAACAATGAGGAGTAACAAACTCGTTGTTTGTTATACAAATACATTCCAGAATAGAAATCCTATTGAATTCTTCAAAACATTTCGAATCCTTATAACCATTACACTCACTCTTCAATTAATGATCACATTCATCTTTTTTTAACCAAAAACTTTCACATTTCATCATTTTTCGATATGGAATAAAAAAAACAATGCAAATTTATCCCCTAAATTTTATAAACGACAGTGCGCTTGTGAATTTGTTATAAAGGTCACCGAAATGTTTTTATATTGAACTTTATTTTCTTGAACTTTTTAAATTACTATATCTTTAAGTAACTACAGGAAGGCGTATCGTTCTCTTCGTTCGAGATAACATTGTTTATGTTCATTCATTTGAACAATCTATTCTTAATGGACCATTTCTTATAGAAATATTACAGTCAAACGACGGATAAATCGATCCGTGCAAATTATCACCAACGATTAGGAATCATAAAAAAAAAAAAAAGAAAGCCGAAGAAAAAAAACAACTTAAAAAATTTTCAAAATATTTGATTTATAAAAAATATGCATCGAAAGCGTCTTAAAAGTATGTGGAAGTCCCAAATGAAGCAACAAATAAAATTCAAATTATTATGAACAAAGAATATAATCATGCAATGAAAAACAGAACATAGCAATTAATTTTTAAGTTGTTTCCCAAATAAGTAAATAAAAAAAAAAAATAAATAAATAGAATAAGTTTTCAAAAAAGCGTCTATCGAAGAATGATTATGCCCTTTCGTGGAAATTTAGGGCAGAAAATAGAATTATATTGAACAAAAGGGATAATAGTCTTCTACTCTCCATAAAAAATATGAGCAGCTATTTCCCTATTTTGTTATCTAACTAGTGCTTAAGCAATATACCACAAGTTATTAATTATTAATTATGAATTATGAATATTTCATTTAGAAATGAAAAGTATTTTTTAAGACTTCTTTTTCTTTTTTTATACATATGATTTTTTTTATAATTACTTACAATTGTAAGCAGTTTCTTTTTTTATTTATATACATATATATTTATATGTATATATATATTTATATTTATGTATATATGTGTATATATATATATATACACATTACAATATATATACACATACATATATATATATTTTTCACATTTTTTTATATCTATATAATGATACTAGATAAAATTTTTATTTTAATCTCTCGCACGAATGTAAGCCATTTTCGAAATTTTAATAAGCGGGGATTATTGGAAATATTGAATTATATTAAAGCAAAAGATTAATCTTTTTTTCTATTTTCTTTGTTTTAATTTTTCAAATATTTGAAAATTTATAATCAAATTAATTCTGCTATTTTTCAAAGCTTTCAGCTTATACTAAATAAAAGCTGTTAGCATACATCAAAGAGTTTTCTCAGAAGTGCATTAAGAATGCACAAATTTAGTATAAATATTACTCCTCTTTTTTTTATTTTCTAATAGTTTTAAAATTATAGATAATTATTATTAGAAGCAATGGAAAATAATTGATTTTCCTAAAACGTTAAAGTGTCTTTTTCTGCAATACATGTTTGGCTCAGAACACCACCAATATCACACAATATGCTTAACGCATCATTAGGTTATGCCGCCATTACTTTTGTGCTTTAAAAGTAGTATCACTAAGAAGGTACTATTTTTCGTTCATATTTACAAATATTACACAGGCAACAGATAAATTACCTAATATCATATTATCTTCATGGTAATAACAAATGTCCTCTTATAACCTGCTCTTTGTACCATCCTTTATCAATAAGGAATATTCTTTAAGTTATTTAAAGAATCTATGGAATAAAATGTATTTGTTTGCGCGTAAAATCATGCATGCGAAAAACGTTTAGGATTTTTTTTAATGGACAAATTTTTAAGAATACGAAGAAATATCTGTGTCATTACGCGTGTGTATGTATACATGTGTACAGTTTAAGAACATTATACTTATTATTAAACTAGAAATATTCAATACTTTCATGAGAAAATCTCAGCTATATAAATATTTTAAAATGCCTTTTATTTAAATATTTTAACACGTATTCTGCCAGAAACTTTCAAATACTATTACATAAAATATCAATTGATGATAAGTTCCCGGATGGATACGTTTCAATCATTTAAATGTTGTATTAAACAACGATCTATAAATCTCGACTTCTTCCTTCGTTTCCTTATTGTCAAGTATGGTAACAAATCACATTTGAAACAGATAGAAAAGAGCATGTGCAATTAATAGTCTATACAAGAAAATATTATAGTGGAAGAATTAATTGAGCAATATGTTCATGGCTCTATAAAGGCAGTGTAAGAGATATATTTTCTCGATAAGAAGTGTTAAATAATTCCTAATGTAACATTAAAAGTCAAACAGAAGTTTAAGATAACAACATTAAAATAAAGTACAGAAGCGCACGGAAGTATTTTGCACGATACGGTGATAATAATTTAATATTTGAATTTTTAAAAAGTAATCAACAATATTGATAATTGACGGTCAGATTGTTATAAACGACGTAATAATTTAATAAAAACAATAAAACTTAATAAAAATTTTTTCAAATAATTACTTTTCGGATAATCTAAATTAGTTTATAATGAAATAAAGAAGTTAATCAAAACATTTTTTTATCGTTCTTAACAATTTATCCGCCAATACATTTATTTAAATATTTATCATTTAAACAAAAAATAAAGAATGTCTTTGCATATTAAATTATATACACACGCATTCTCTCTCTACCTGCCCTATATATGTTAATTAAATCAGACTCAAACTTTAATTAAATCTAGGACTTAGTTTGCAAAATAAAAGGTGACTTAGAATGGAAATGGTCGTTAATTTTTTACATGTTTAATCAATTGGCCGCGATCCAGCCATTTGCTACCAGATAATGTAATATCTTACTCTCTGGTTCCGATTGAGGTACAACGCCTGATCTTCTATTACCATTTAGATATTCCTGCAAACATAAAATTTTTATTTGTATAATATACAGAACATGATAAATGTTATTTTCTAAAATCTATCCATAACAATTTTTTTTGATATCAAATAAAATTTACTATTTGATGTCTCTTAAACAAAATTCCTAAAAATAAAATTGCTAGAAAAAAATATAAAAATTTCTTTATTTATTTATAGTAATCATATATAACTGAATATATCAATTTTTGCAAGAATATGGTATTTATTTAAACAGAAAATAATTTTATTATTTATTACTTAAAATAATTTATTTATATAAAAACTTACTTGCAACAACAATGTCTTTTGTGTTAAATACTGTGTTGGCTTCAGATCAAGTTGAAGACATAAGGATTTTTCTTGTTTTGTCAATAGATGAGCTGCTGCTTCCATTTCTATATCTCGTTCCTCTGAGTCTCCCGCTGTTGTGCAAGATTTTCCAGAAGTTGTCGCAGTATAATTTTTTTCTGCGGCAGAACTGGAGCTGGTAGAATGCTGGCTGGAAGAATTTGGATTGTTATCCGGCTCCGCCCACTGATTGGCTAGAGTCGTCATCCGATTGGGATTGGTTTGATTGATTGAGAAGCTGCTGCTGGGTAAGTCTTTTGCAATGTACTTTCGGTCGGTGGAAGAGTAACTTTTTTCTTCTTCTCTATATATAATAAAAACACAAATTTATCTTTAAATTATCTATATATATATATAATGCTTAATATATATAATTATATCAAATTAAATTTATTGCAATAGTAAATTTTAGAATAATTTTGTACCTTTTTTTTGAGGTGTGGCGGTGTATTGGTGTGGACGGCCCACTGCTGCCCTAAGTGAAATGCAAACTGATACAATCTGTTCACAAATGCCTGGCAACACGCACCACAAACAATGGAATTAGTTAAATGAGAAGCAAAAGCTAGTGTATACAGTATAATATAGACTCTGATATTCAAATCATAATTATTAATATCAATAGTAAAATAATTTATTATTTGTATTAATTACATATAAATTTTTGAATAACATATTTATATTATAAATATGTAAAATAATCAATGTAAATATGAAATAATATAAAACTATAACAAATAAATATATTAAGAAATTCGTTTTATTTTAAAATAACAATTATTTCAATATTTATTTTCATAGAATATATTTAAAATTACAAACATAAAATTGTAAAAAAAAAATATATTTTAAATAACATTTAATAAGTCCAAAAGTTCTACTAGCTTTTACGAATATGTACTAAAATATACTTTAAAGTTAAATAGATATACCTAATATATATTTTATACAATAAAGTATAAAATAAAAGGTATATCATTATAAAAAAAAAAAAAAAAAAAAAAAGAAAAGAAAAGAAAAAAAAAAGAAAAGAAAAAAAATTCAATTGCCATTGCAATGTGGAAAAAATTAACAAATATATGAATACCAATACTTACAGATTTTTTTTCATTCCAATGATCTACAGTATCATTTTGTCCCTGAGTTTGTGCCATCACTTGTTCGAAATGAGCGCATTCTTCATGTCTTGTAATACCATGTTCTCGATAACGAAATAATTCTGAAAGACGTAACCGTAATTCTCTTTCCCTTTCAAGATTTGTTAAAAATTGTTCATATTCCTGTGCCGTGTAAAACTGTGCAAATACTCTTGTTCTATCTCTAAATTCCCTATAATATATTTAACAGATTTATTATCAAAACATTGTACAAAACAAAATATTATTTTTATTCAATATTAAACATACTTTTCCTCTTTTGATTGTTTTTTCTTTATTGTTTTATCTTTCCTAGATGAAGCAAAAAATGCAGAAACAAGCTGATAATCGCGTACAACTCTTTTTCGTCGCGCTCTCTCTCTTAAATTATTAGTATACATGTCAACTTGTGCAAGTTTAAGTGCTATATCCAAATCATCATCTTCTGCTGGATTTAAAAATAAAGAAGAAACAAGTGATTCTGCTTCATGATTGTAATCCTGTAGAGAAGATTTCAATAGTATAACAATAATGTGTTGTTATATATTTGTTGTGAAACAAATATTTTTAATTTAAAATATACCCTTTCAAAATCATCTCGTTGTGGCATGTATCCCAATTGTGCAGCTTCTTCTGGAGTAATATCCAAAGGTGGTAATCGAGATGTGAGATCAGGTGATAGAGGTCCATGATCTGACTTAGTTTGATCTGTAATATTTGGTTTGTAGCTTTCTGTAGGAGGCCATGTATGTTTTCCAATATTTCCATCAAGATACCTAGCAATATATTCTTCTTTTGCTTCTGTAGATAAAAATAAATTATGTATATATAGAAAATAATTTTTCATATATTAATTTTTTTTAAATTTATTTATTAAATAATCATAGCTTTGTAAAATTATATTTCTTTTTGTTAAAATTATATAATATTATTTAATGCAAGAAGTTACAACAAATGGCGTACCTTCTGGCGTACGTGTTTCAATATGTTTACTAATATCTTCCCAATTTCCAAAACCAAATTGTTCAATGGCATCCAAAAGTCTAAGTTGTTCTCTAGCAGTCCAGTTTCCCCTACCATTAAATATGCTAATGGTACCAGAATCCTATAAAATATAAAAATTCATTAATTTTTTAATCAAAAGAATAACTTTTTTATATTTAAAAATATAATTCAGTATATACCATAAACTGATAAGAGTGGTCATTTTTATGTGGTCCAATTTCAGCTCCAGCGGAAAAACACTGTTAAATTTAAAAAATATTATTCTTTTTCTAATAAAAGGTATTTATGAATAATTTTTTCTAATAAAATATCTTTATATATTTATAAATAATTTATTTTAAAATAGTATTTCATTTATATTATAAAGAATCATAATATTTTTAAAATGATATATTTTTTTTTTCATTTTGTTTTAAAATTTTGACATTTTTGCATCAAATAGAATTGATATACGTATACATGTATCACCACGTGATTAGAAGTTTCATTCAGTCGAGTAGTAGTATAATATAATAATTTCAGAACAACTTGTCGACAAAAAAAGAGTGGGGACTAAAAAAGGAATCTCAACACGCAAAATCCAGTAAAGTTAGAAGGATAGACGAAGATGTGACAGAGATCAGTAAGGGAGGACAGAGGGGGAAAAGGAGACGTGAACACGTGATCAAGAACAAGCATTCGCTCGTCTCACCTGCAAACAGAGGTCGAAATCTGGGCATTCTACACATCTTACACGTAAACCCGAGATGTCCTCTTGACAATAGGTGCAGTTGTATTTAGCATACAAATCTGAAATCGACGATTCGTAATACATTTTACCTCTGATTATAGTTTGTCGAGTGGCAATCGGTATTCCCTTTGTCGATGTAAATACATACCCGCCATTATTGTCCTGCAGGGTTCTTCCAGAACGATCCGGATGACGTCACCGCATGCCAGAAACCCATAAGTTTATCACGTACACTGAACGTGTAAGCTTGACCCCATTTTTTCCGCGAAATCGTATGAAAACGCGGAAAAATCGTGATGCGTCCTTCTGGACGCTCTAATTATCGTGTGTAAATTCGTTAAAAATCTCTATGGAAAAAATGTTGTTTACGACTGTTGCGTCGCGAAACGAGTACGCATGCGTTCCTCTCCTACCATTTATGAACTACATTTCAGGTTCGCCAACTGTGCGATAATAAAAGAAAGTTGCATTTTTGTATCGGCGCGAATTTAAATAAATAATTATATTTTAACAACATTCATTTTTTTTTGTTTGTATGAAGTTATAGAGTTGAACATCAATTGAAATGATATAAGATATTAAATAAAGTGATACAAATTAATATAGTCTTGGAAATATCGTAAAATGTTTTGTGTAAGTACATATTTTTACAAATATTTTTTTTATTTATAATAAAAATTAATTTTTTTTCTTATTACATTGTATAAATATATTATGAATTCATTTGAATAAGTTCTATATAATCATTTTTTAATATATCATATATGACTTTATATTATAATTTTTTACATAAAATTATATTTATATTTAGATTACTCGATTAAAATTTTTCCATAAGAATATTATCTTATTAAATCGATCAATTTGTTTGGGACGTCCATATTTAATTGAAGACAAAGCGTTAAGAAATTTGAAATTAAAACAAGCAAAAATGCAGGTCAAATAATTTTAATACGAAATAATGTGAAATATATGAAAAATAAATAGTCGCGTTTATATAATTTATATAAATTATTTTTCATTTATTTAGTGTGAAGATAATGTTCCTGTATTTCTGAAATGCGGTTGGCGAGATAAAATAATATATTGGACAATTTTAGCATTTACTTTATGTAATACAATAATGACATTTAGACAATTGTTAATATTAAGTGAAAAATTTCAGTGATTGTAAAAATTTTTCATAATTAAAAATAAATTGAATATTGATTAATTATTAACTGAATATTGATTAAAGTTATTTAATATAATTTTTATTTGTAATTTTACATATCTTATTATCAATTATTGAATTAATAACATTAGATTTACAATTTTTCATGTTAAATTATTTTTACTTATTGTAAAATTAATATATATGTTTTATATATATATATATATATATATTTTATGATATGTAAAATTATGAAGAAATTTTAAGGCACTTGATGCTCTGCAAATACCAATATGGAAATAAATGTATATTTTTTTTATAATAGTGTATACAGTGTATAAGTGTATAAAGTTTTTGTGTGTGATGAGAATATAAATCAAATAAAAAAATATAAATATAAAACAATAATGTTATAATTTAGAAAAAAACAAACAAAACATAAAAAAGCAGAATATAAATGCAAAAAAAGATATTAAGAAATTATCATAAAACAGTTTATTAAAATTTAAATAATCAAGGATGAATAATAAAATTGTTTTTTTAAAAACATGCATTGATAAATATTAATTTTATATAAATAATATCTAGATAAATATTTCAACATCTAAACATATAAAAAATTATTAAGACATTTTTATAATATGTGAAATAATTATTACACATTAAATTAATATTTAATACATAATTTCACTATTTCAATTTGTCCTTTTACACAAATATACATATAAAATTGGCACTTTTATATTATGAAAAAAAAAAAAAAAAAAAAATGTTTTGTCATTTTTTAATATTTTTTGATATTTTAAAAAATAACACTAAAAAATAAAATTCATTTTTCCGTGTTGGTAATGCATGAGCATTAAAGATATACATTTTTGTTATCACAGAATAACATATTTACATATTATAATTATATAACTGTATTAAAAACATAAAAAAATGAATTAATATTTTGATATTTAATTATTTGAGTTATTTCCAATATTTTTTTGTATTATTTTATTCTTTTCATTGGAAGCATTATTTTCTACATTATTTGAGATATTATTAGATTTTTGTGCATTTAATAAGATATTTTTGTTATTATTATATGAGGTAAGATATTTTTCTTGTAAAACTTTATTTGTATCTGGATTTGAATTTTCTTTTTCATTAATATTTTGAATAACTTTTTCTATAGTATGTATATTTTCTTCATTATTATAATTTTTTGAATTCTTTGAAAATTGGGATGGAATTTGATTTTCTAGAGGTATTTTCGATAACATTTGTACTTTAGGTACATCATTTTTATGTTCAAGAATGTTTACATTGTATATTTTATTTTTTTTTCTATGTTGCACTAAATTTTTTAATGCTTCACTAAACTGCATTAATGTTTCTGCAATTGGTCGTTCCATATATGTGGCTTCAATTTTTTCAAATTGATCATCTTCTTCTGAAGTTAATTCATTTTTTATTTGTTTAAATTGATATATTATATCCCTTAAACTTTCTTTGACATCTTTGATTCTTTTTGTATCTTTATCTTCTATCACACTATCTATATTTGGTAAGTCTTTTGTTGCTTTTGTATTTATTTCTATAGATTGTTTATTATATTCAATATCTAATTCATTTTCATCCATTTCCAAATCTTCATATATAAAATCTTTTTCAAATTCCTTAAATTGATTAATTATATTTCTAATGCTTTCTTTTATATTAACTGATTTATGTTCAATTGTTGCTTCTTGAACTTCTATAGATTTTTCTTTGATTTCTTGAATTATTGTTGGTTTTTCTTTTAATTCTTGAACTTCTAATAATTTTTCTTTTAAATCTTGTTTTGTCGTTTTTATTTTTTGTGATGATTCTATTTTTATTGGAACTCTTTTTATTTTAGCATTAATTTTCTGTGAAATTTCTGATTTTTCTTCTATTGTATCTTTTTTAAATTTAACTGCTTCCACTTTTTCTTGAATAATTTTTTTGACAACTTCTTTTAGAGTTGTACTGTTATTTTGTATATTAAATTTTAGTTCTTCTTTATCTATTTCTGATTTTTCTTTTTCATCTTTCTTTATATCTAATTTTTCTTTTTCTTTAATATTATCTTTTTTAATATGAGACTGTAAGTTAATATTATTCTCAGTTCCAATATTTTTTTCTAAATTTAGTGTTATCTCAGATTTTTTTTTATTATTTGGTGTTTCTAATTGTGATAAATTATTTTCAGATAAATTATTAAATGTTTTTTTTATATTTAATGATTTAGTGAATTCGATAGAATCGTTTATTGTATTATTTAATTTGATTTCTTGTATTTCTGTATCTAATATATTTATATCTTTAATATTTAATGGTTTTTCAAATTGCTCTAATGATTCCATTATTTCATCCAATATTGGTTCCACATCCTTTACAGTATCATTTATTTTTTCGTTTTCTACGCTTATTTCTGTAGAATTTTCAGTTGATTGTTTTAAATAAATTATTTTTTTGGGATTATATTGTATATATGATTTTCTTTTCATAATAAATATAATTGGTCTAGTTTTTATTTTTATTGGCGGTAACATATTATAGTTTAATGCTATATGAGAAAAACCATCTACAGAATCCAAAATATCATGTGTTTTAAGATACGGTTTTATATTGGGTGAATATTTACTTTTGGCTTCCATTAAAAGATGTGTAAATTGAAGCATTTCTGGACTGCCAATAGTTAAATTTTCTTGTTTTGAATAACTAGAAAGATAGTTAATGATAAATTAAATTGCATTATTTTTAACTAAATAAAAAAATATATTTAAAGTATACTTTTATTCTAGATAGATTAATAATTTTTATTTTAAATAGTTATTTATAAAACTTACATCCAAGAACTATTTGTTTGTGTAAATCTTGAAACTCCTGTTTGTGCAGTGAGAACATCAATATGTACATGCACTGAATTGAGAGAATCTTTTTCAAGTCTATGTAATTTAGCAATTGCTAAACCACCAGGATAATTAGAACCAGCAATACATAAAAGAAACATAGAAAATAAGGCATTTAAAATTAAGTGACTTAAAATGATCAGTGCCAAAAACCCATTCCATGGACTTTTTGCTCTGTTTTCCCATCTAATTTAAGAAAAAAAGAAAAATATAATCTTAAATATTTAAAAATTAAAAATAATTTAGAAAGTAGAATTAAATGTAATTTACTTACATTCTATGACAAACAACTGCAGCACTGACATTTAATAATGGAAAAACATATATGATAAATCTCAATTCTTTGTGAGGTAAAAATGAGAATAATGCAACAAATGCAATACCAGGAATTGTTAATGTTCGAACTCGAGCATCCCATAGCATTCCTAAAGGTATCAAAAAATAAGAAAAAGCCAATCCACGTGGAAGAGCTGAATAAAAATACCATAGGAATGGTGATGTCTATTTTTATATTAAGTTCAATAAATATATTTTAAATTCATTATTTTAAATAAATTTAAAAATGATTTTGACAAAGGATACACCCCATTCACTGCTTTTATTAAGTATAGTATTGAAGTAAAATACTTCACCTTCAGGCCATAATAATCGTTTCCAAAATATAGAATCTATTGCGATTGTTAGTGTTAGAAAAAATATACCAGCTGGAACCGCAATTTTAAACAGTCTAAAAAAATTATTAATTTTATGAAAAATTAATTTTATTATTCTAACAGTATATTTATATAGTTCTAATGAAAAAGATTTCCTATGTTATACAATTATTTTTAATTATTTTTTTTTCTACTTTTAACAAGAGCACAAGTTGTACTGCAGTTTATCAAACAAGGGATTTATATTTGATTTAGTTATTTCTTGGAAGGGTTTTATTATGTTAATAAGTTTTATAAGCAAACAAAGCTTACAAATCAGTGCAGTTTTGCAGAAGGTTCCTTGATGATTCTAATCACTTCTGTATGCAATGTTATAGCCATACTAGGAATCAATGGTCCGCAATATAATATGTAAATACCTTAGTATGGTTAGTTTCTTGTTGGCTATATCGTACAAAAGGAATAACCCCAGTAGCATGGCAAGTTCTGCTCTGAATATTATTATTGCTGCTGCAGATGACCAAATAAATATGATGTGACTTTGTTTCAACCATCCATATAAAGCCAATAGTACTACAGACATAGAAATAATATATATATAAATAATAATTTTCATAAAATACTAAATAAAATATATGTAATAACTTGAACTTAAATTACCTAATGGCATAGTCATTATATTTGGTAATGTACGACTTAAGTAATACATAAAATGATATTGTGTTATAGTAATTGCAACAAACCATTTAGTAAATTGCAGACCAAAGATGCTTTGTAAAGCATCTCTATATAATTTTAATGTACCTATTACTAATAAGCCCAATGTTGCTCTTACTGAAAAAATATAATATTAATCACTTTTTTAAAATATAAATCAAATAAAATAATAATACCAATATATTTTATTATTAACTTACCAACATATTGAGCAAAAAATTTATTAATTTGCATATAATTAATAATTGCTATTAAAGGTGATGCCAAGCCTGAGACTATAATTGATCCCACAAATGATCGTGGCACAACTCCAGGAAATTCATGGTGATCATACTATCAAAATATGAATATATAATAAATAATTAATGTTTATTTATATTAATTTCTTTTAATGTGCATTTTTTTATATTTAAATATTTTCAATTATTAAATTCAATCTTTGGTTGATTTATATTATTAATAAACATAAATTCTCTTTCTATATTTTCGATTTAAGGAAAATTGAAATTAGTACATTAAACATACATAGACGTAGAGAAATTATATCAGCTGATCATAAATTTATAAATATATGTATTTGCTTCTAAATATAATATCGAAGATTTTGCGTAATATCTTTTTGATTGCATGTCAGCAACCTGTCAAGGAAGACAAATATATCCTTGTCGCTTGTTTTCATTATTTATTGTTTTTATTTTTTTATGTTAATTATATTGTAATTTATGTAATATATTTTTAATAAATATTCTAATAATTACCTCTGATAGGTTAAAACCATGGTATAAAATGTCGTGCATAGCTTGTAGATTAAAACTTTCTTCTACTTTTGTAAATGGACAATATAATAAATGTAATATAGCCACCAGTATAATTAAATGATCCATAATTTTATTTTACGCAAAAAACGGACTCAGAAGCATTGTAAGAATCTGCGTTTTAATCATAATAAGCCTAACCAATATAGTTGACTTTTTACATATTCTTTCCATCCACCGGGAATATACGTCGTCTGCTATGATGTATCATAGCCATAAACAAAATTCGAAATAGATATATCATCTTATCGAATTTATATCTATTACCTGAATTACCGATCGTGCATTATTGTCATAGACAAGAAATAGAATAGATGTGACAACTTATGGAATTTTATATTACATGTTCTCAAATGTTTTAACTTCAAAAAAGATTAAAATATTTTTTACATCATCTAATATAATATAGTTTAAGTACAATATTTACAATATTCAATCAATATTTATAATATTATCTACGTATACAAAATTAATTCATTTAAAAAGTTCAAAATAAAAATCTATATATAGTTTAATATAGTTAATTTTTGGAATTGAAACGAGAATATTCACTTTAATACCATCATTTTAATAAATTTATTAATATCTTCATGCTAAAAATATAATTATAATCATAATGAATTAATTCATATTATTTCTTATAAAATATATAATATTGTTTTTTGTAACAGTGAACCGATGTGAAGTGATAAATAAGATGATCTTCGAATTTCGTAATTTCCGTATTTTCTACATAAAAAAGAGAAACATAAAAAAGAATTATATGTCACATTTATTCTGTATTTTGGCTGTGTATTATATTATTTTATTTGATACAAATACAAATCGATTGAAAAATATTTGAACTTGAAATATCTTGAAATATCTTTTTTTTTTATTTAAAAAATAGCATTAAAGATTAAAATGTTTTTTTTAATCTCTATTTTTTCTTTATTGTTAACTTTTTTTTTTACTTTTGTTTCATCTAAAACTTTTTACAAACGATTCTGATCCTCAAATTTTTATTGCATTTTTGTTTTTCTCCTATCATCTACTATTCTTATTTGTAACGTTATGTGTAACTCTCGTATTTGTATTTTTTTTGTGCTTGTGTGTCATAATTAAATTAAGAATGTATTTTTTAATATTTCAAATTAAATATTTCTTAATATTTGATGTTAATTTATTATAATTTTTTATCATTATATTAAAAAATTTATAAATAATTATAATTTTATTATAGTTACATATAATTTTATCTTTATAAATTTGAACTTTAATGAATTTAACAAATAATATTTAATCTGTAATACTTCAAATAGAAAATTTTTTATTAAAAAGTTAGTTTATTAGCCCCCAATGATCAATCATAACAATAATATTACAATATTTTTATTTATTAAAAAGATTAAACGCTATAAAAATGTTATGTATTTTTTTGTTTTGTAAGACAATCTATTTCGATGAAAATTTATAATTTATTTATAAATTATAAATTTATAAATTAAATCACAATATTTTTAATATTAATCAAAACAATTTAATAATTAGTTTTTCATTTCTAAATAACTAATTACATATAATTATTATATGAAGGTGATACATTTTGGGACCATCGATTATAATAATCACAAATAGACAATGTTTCACTAGCACTATTATATAAAAAGATACAAATACGTATAAAGTAAGTGTTCCAAGATTTAATATTTTTTTCACAATGAGACGTCATAGATTTTTATTTTATTTTATCAATTTTTACCAAATAATTATTTTTAAAAAATAAAAGGATTAAATATTTTTGAAAAAGTATAGAGTATTACTATTTTTGTAAATTTCTTTTAAAACATAATGATCGAATAAGTTCATTTTATTACGTACATATATACAATGTAAGGAAAATTTATATTTTATTTTCGTATAATCAGAAAATACAATTTGTCGCAAATATACGTAATAAAACCTATAGAATCAATACTGTAGATAAAAATTAGTTTTTTCATACGTCTCCGAAAAAATATATTTTTTTGCGAGCTTTTATGATTTATATAAGATCTTATATAAAATTTTTCATAATCAACGAAATATTCATATAAAATAATATCGATCACGAACAAGATAGAGACAAAGTGTTATATTAAAATTGTCACAATTTCGCACAATTTTTTTTCGCAATGTACAATGATAATATATTATTACAATAAAATTTTATTTATTCTTCCGTTTTAATTTTTTTTTTTTTTTTTTTTTTCGTAAATCTTTATTTCAATCTTTTTTCTTTAATATACAAAGGCAATCTATCTTGTTCTAGTTCGATGTAAAAAAAGCGTTTAATTTGTCTGAGAGAAATTAACGTTTCGGTTTCGGTGCTCGCGAATGTATCGGCTTATTGTGCAACATGTGCTCGCATTTGGGAATGTGACGGTCGGCGGCGGCTTTATTGAATTTTCTTCCGCAATGGGGACACTGAATGTAATCGTAGTTATCGCTAACTGGCGGCGGTGGCAAATCGCTGAGCTTGCCTCCTGCGGCCAGATGTGCTTGCACTTGCTTAGCCGAACGTATGGCGTTAATGAAATCCTCGTGTTTACGCCGCCAATTCGACTTTACTTCAGGTTTCTTCGATTTCTGAAACATGTAAAACAACAACCATCCCATCCTTTTAGAACGATCAATATCCCTCATCCTTTTTCAAAGAAATTTGATTTTTGCAAAGATTTTTTTATAATATAAATGATCTTTTCTTTTTTAAATATTATAATTTTTTTTTTATTGAATTTTTTTTTCTCATTCATAAAAAGTGATAATATTTTGTGATTCACAAAATTGATTGATTTACAATAAATTTCTATATTTTGGAATTATTGCTAGATCATTATATCATTAATATATTCCTTAATTTATTTAAACGTTTATTAGTATTCAAATGTACTCTATTTATAGTATCATTTTCCAATATCTTTTATTCTTTAACTTGTTTTTCAATATTATAATTTTTATTAATATTTTATAGAACCATGTACAATTACGATGTGACTCGAGATAGAAATTATAAAGGAATTGGAAAAGGAGGAGGGATAATGATTTGGAATTGGAATGAAGGATTGGAACACTGACCTCCATCTGTTTTTTAACGAGCCCTTTCTTAACAAATGGCTCAATATCAGTACCCTTTACTCGATACATCATCGTATCGAATTGCTTCCTCTTCTTTTGGCCTGTTTTTATGCAGATTTGCTCATGAAGAGCAACTCGGTCTGGGGCGAATCGACGACCACACGCTTTACAAGGCACCAAAGTTTCGCTGTAATAAAATTATATCTTTTGAAAAAAATTTGAAAAGATTTGAAGAAAATATGAAATATTTCATATGTAGATTAGTAGAAGATTAATATTTTAAAGTAATGCAAGAAAATTAAAAATTTTTTGAGTTTTATCTTTTCAACGTTTCAATTATAGATATTCATAATTTTCAAATTTTATCTTTATCTTCTATAATTAAATGGATAATATTAAGTTATGAATTCTTATTGAAAATTTTTGAAAGTACTCTAAGTACTACTTTTTCTTAAAAATAAATTTTCTGATTTAATTTCTGAGACACAGAATGTCTTTATTAATTTTTTTGATTTATTTATAAAAACAATTTATTTTGTAATAATTTATTAAGGATATTAATTGAAAAATGAAATAAATATATATATATATAATAATAGAAATTACTTTTTTAAGAACTTTATTACTTATTTAAACTTTAAATTTTAATAATTGAAGGATTTATGATAAAAATAAATCTTGTCAATTTTTATCTTTCCTTAGAAGAACAAAAAAATTGTATTCTTTTATTTTTCTTTAATAGATTATTTTTACAAAATAATCATTAAATTTTATACTATTATATAATTGTATATATTACATAATTATATATATATATATATATATATATATATGAAATTAAATCATGAATTTCTTAAGATATAATTAAAATTGAACAATTTTTATTTAATGAAATATTAATTTTACATTAACATTGAAAAAATTAAAACTTAAAAATATGAATTATCTCAAATAATATAAATTCCATGATAAAATTGTTTTTATGAAATATTTTCGCGTTTTATAAGTATCAAAAGTTTTTTAATTTCACAACAAGAAAATCAATTAGTCTAAAAATTCTTACGTCGTTACTACTCCTCCTGCTGCTCCTCCGTTTTTGTTAGATGCCGACCCTTTGTACGTTGTAGAGGAAATTGGCGTCTTTGCTCTCGAAGCCATTTTGCTTCTATAAACGGAAGTCTGATTCTGCGTGGAAATGCCACTAGAGGTGGACGAAATTGACAAAGGAGTTCGAAGTGATTGCGTGGGTGTAATCTGTTTCTAATTAATAAATATAAATGTTAAATGAATATTAATCGCAATTGAAAATAATATACGAAAAAAAAAAAATAAAATGACGATAGTAAATAATTCAATAATTATTTGACATTTAATATCAAAGAATTGTGATATGATTGAATATTATAAGATTATAGTTAAAACACCTGTTAATATTATTGTTTAATTTTTAACTGGAAATTTATCGAAATAAATAATTTCACTTCAAAAATAAAAAGGAGGAATCCATATGCAGCAAAACTTGAATTTCCCGGGTTAAATTGTATCAAAGGGCGGCAGACATTTTACTATATTTTTACTCATTTCCCAAATATCTATCTTCAAGTCGTAGCGGAAAAATTACGATATTCGATAGAGATTATTTCGATATGAAGAATGGATAATTCAGAGATAGAATGTATTTATAAATCATGTAGTAAATATAAAAATAAAATCGTTTCTTTTCTGATATTATCTAAAATTACTTGGAAATTAAAAATGAAATATTATTTTATCTGAATTGTTATAATATTTTCCACACCAAAATTGTTTATTTCGTCTGCTTTCCTTAATACGTGTGATTAAATTCTAAATTAACCTTATAATAATTCAGTGCACCGAAGTTCTTCGTTATCTCAACATGTTATCCATTTTTGTTACATTATCGTCTAATTGTTGGAAATAACATTTATGAAATTTTCTTTTATACAAATCCAAGACGTATAATTTTAAAGGAAAGTTGAAAGTATCTTAATTTTACTTTATAATAAAAGATAATTGTATAATATAATATAATAGTGTAAAAAAGATTTTTCAAATCAAGAACTGAAATAACAAGTTAATATTGTTGAAATTGGTTTCAAGTTATTTAAATAAAAGCAATTTGAAATTCAGTGTCAAGCCAATTGATGATTGAGGATGAATATAGAAACTTCAAAGAATATTTCAACTCAAACAAATAACAGGTTCATATTAATAAAATAGCTTCAACTTATACGATTTCCTTAAATTCAAGTAACTTGATTAATCTGACAATATGTAATTGTAATTTTAGCTTAATAATTCAATACGAGAGAATTTTAAATTAAAACCATAGTTTAAAATGTGCCATTTAAAAATTATTAATTTATTTCTGTTTACAAGATATCCGTTTTTTTTTTTTATTTTAACAGCTTACTTACTTCGGTGGATTGTTTTCGTAAAAACGATTTCCGCGGAAGTGGCGCATCGTTTTCCTTCGGCGGTTGCTCGTCGAAGTCGATGACAAAAGCGTCGCTTTTCTTCATCGTGGGTGAGTCGTTATCATATTTCGTTTCGGCAGTTTGGTCTCGTAAATGCAGACCATTCTCGAGAATAGCGCCATCGACGACATCCGTCGATTTTCTCGTGCTCGCCGTCGATGTCGTCGACGTCGTCGTTGTCATCGTCTTCCTGTTTCCAATTGGCTCCGCGCCTTTCATAGGTGTTCCCCGTTTCGACGATTTTGTGTCTTGAGCTTTCAACTCGGTGGACGCACGCTGAAGGAGAAATACGTTTATATACAAAACTCGACATATTTTACTGTGATTCAACAAGAACGACGAAAATAAAAGATACATTATTCTCAACGATTATTCTTTATCGTAGAAGTAAGAAGAAAGTATTAGTTTTATCTCATTTTAATAAGTTATTTGATCATAATTTTAATCAAGAGATTGATAATAATAATGCGTATGAAATTATGTTACATAGGAAACATAGATAAAAATACGTCCTCTATCTTCTCTTTTATTAATCTTAAATAATATATTGTAAAATAAATTATCGTTAATTGTCATATGATTTCGATTATCTGAATTTGTGAAATTAAAAAAATGAAAAGTACTAAAGATACATTGATAAAAAAATATACAAAAATATATCTCATTTCCACTTAATCTTGTTCAAAATTATATCTCCTATCTTCGCACCATACAATAACCTCCATCAATTTTACGTTACAATTCCATTACTTTGATCCATACAAATCTTCAAGAAACCGTACACTTTTAAACGAATCCCTCGAGCCCTTCCCCTCACACGCAAAAAAACCCACCTATTTATAAAGGAAGAAGAATCCTTTACGCAATCTTTGCTTACCCTTGGCATCGTATCCGGACTCTTGGACGGCGACGGTGGTACGTTTCTCCTAGCACGGTTGCTCGTTTCCGCCGTCTTCATCGTTTCCGGGCTCGGACTTTTCACGACCCTGGGGAAACGCATCGCACACTTTACAGCCGAACGGCTCGTATCCCCCATACCCTTGTTCCTCGCGGCAACGCTCCCCGACCGCCCGGGCAAAAACATCCCTTCTCTATTTCCAGCACGATCATCGATATTTATTCGACGGGCCTCCGATCGCCCCGTCCCTCGCCCCGATCGGCCCGACTCGTTGCCCGACTCGATCACCGACTCACTTTCGCCCTCGATCGACTTACGTATATCCTCGATCGATCTCAACCGCTTCACAGACAGTGAACGATCCGCACCTGTTGACGCTTCACCCGTTTCTCCTTTGTCTGTCGTCGCTCCCCTCGACGTCTCGTCGCTAGAGTCGAATTCGAGGCGTATCGGCGCGATCTTCACCGAATGTTCCCGCGTTTTCTTCTTATTCGACCTCGCCGACAAGCATTCCACGGTTCTCACCGAGTCGAGGCTGCACTTCGATCTCGTGCTCCCGGTCTCCTCGCCGGAATCGGCGTCGTGGAAAAGTTTCCGCTTGCACGTGGCGCTTGATCTCGGCCTTACGTCCACCGAGTCTATCCTCGCTTTCGACAATTTTTTCGCATTCTCCTGAACCAAATCCTCCCCTTCCGTGCCTCTCTCTCGAGATTCGAGAGTGTCTCTCGAGGCGGTCGAAATTTTCCTCGAGGAAGATCCGAACGATTCGACGGGGCTCTTCGAGAGATTTAAATTCGATCGATCGAGCGCTTTCAGGGAAATCGTGTTTGACTCGTACGTTTCATCCGATTCCGTTTGTCTTCTCATCGTTGTCGATTCCTCCAACACGCTTCGAATCGAGCCGGTCTCCGTGCCGATCGAATCGAAACGTCTCAGAGCCGATTCCACCGAGTCGGTTCTCCCGTAATTCATAGCGGACGATGCATTCTTCGCGCTGTACTCTGATTCCTTGATCCTTGACGAGGTCGAGTCGCGGGCCGTGATATCAATTTGTTCCTCTTTAACCACGGTTTCAACGAGGAAACTCGACCCTCTCATAACTCGGCGAACCAGCTCCATCGATTTCAAAATTTCGTCTTGTCTGCATCTTGTCCGCGACGAATCTGTCGATGTTTTAGCTTCGTTCTTTCGATCAGTTGCTCGTACCACTTTTCGTTTCGTGTTACGAGCGATCGATTCGTTGGTGGGCGAAGGACTATTGCCCCACCCGTTATATTTTTCCGTGTTCGTTCTCCCCTTTTGAATTGGACTCGGTGTTTCTTCTCTTGGCTTGAAAATATTTCTTCCCTCTAATATCCTTCTATTCTCCTTTCCTCCACGTTTCGAGGCATCGGAGACGATCTTCTTCTTAGATGAAAGCTTGTTCGATGTTGCTAAATCTCTCTGGCTAATCCGTTTCTCCTTATTCGATTTTTCCTCGAAGACGTTCGACTCGAACAAGGATCTTCTCTGTTTCACCGGCTTCCGCACGGAATACGTGAACAGTTTCCCGATCCTCGATTTCTCGCTATCCGCCAATGTTTTGTTACCGGATTTCGAGCAAGTGTCTCGAGGCTGCTTCACGTATTGATCGGGCATCGTGATTTCTTGTATCTCCACGTCCACCTCCACGGATGTGCAACTTTTTGGACTCGATTCCATAGATGGAATTTCGCGAGAGACCGGGGTCCCGGCTCTTTCGTCAACTTTTCCACTCCCCTCGATCCCTGCCTCGTCCCGTTTCGATATTCCATCCGCGATTGATCCTTTCGCTCGCTTTATCGAAACGTAATCGACTTGACTCTGACCCCTCATCGTGTCACGAATCAGTTTCGTCGAGCGCAGCGTATGGTCAGACGATCTACGATCGAGCGTATTCCTGGAAGTGGGGCTGATCTTCGTTGATCTATTCTTCGGATCGTTGGTCGATGTTTTTGATTTCGTCCCAGTTTCTCGTTTCGCTCGCTGTTCAATCGATTTTCGACCCTTCGATCGTACGTCCACCGTATGTTTAGAGGATCCGAGATTCACGGTTGTAGCCGATTTTCCCGATTCGTAACGAAAGAATTCCGGTGTTTCCTCTCTACTGTTCGTCACTCTTTGGGATCTTGGCGAAGAGTCACGACTGCTGGATCCATAGATACTCTTTCTATCGGTTTTCGTAGTTTTCTCGTGATAGAATCGCGGTTTCAGATCGGGCGTGCCTTTCGATGACAATGGAGAAGAGGAGCCGCGAGAATGATGCTTCTTCTCGTCAATTTCCTCCTCGTTTCTTAACGTTTTCTCGCACTGCTCGGAGAAAAATCGCGATGCGAAATGTTTCGAATTTGTTTCGTTCCTATTTAACGATTGTCTTAATGCAGTCTTCTCAGAACTTCGTTCCTCTCTTTTAGAGTGATCTGCGGTCTCCATTTTCGGTTTTGCAATCGTTTCTGGCGTCACTATCATGATCGTGGCAGATCTGTCGGAATCGGAACTGAAAAATTGTGGACTGGTGTTAGATCTCTTTCTTGTAAAATCTGGTGATTTCCTTATATGATTTTCACTACGTTTTTTCGTATCCATCTCGCTCAGGTTTAGAGATTTACGAGCGTGTTTTTGGTCGAAGCCTATGGTAGCCGATTTTCTTCTTTCACGATCGAACAATTGAGGACTCGAGCCACCACTTTTTTCTCTCGTTAAACGTTTGGAAACATTGGATGATTCAGCTTTGATAGATTTCAAACATTCTGGCGAGGAGGATTTTCTGATTGCATTTCGTTTCACTTGTCCATCTGCATCCCTTGATTTCTTCGTCGTATCGTCAATTACGCCCTTTCTATATCTCGGTTCTATTTTCAACGCGTAACTTTCCGTGTTTCTCATATAATCGGGCGAATCAGACGAACGATTTTTCGAGTTTGTTGCGTAAGTGGTGGCCGATTTTTCATTTTCTTCGCAATAGAATTTAGGAGTCGCGTCGCCGCGCAGCGATTCATTCGAAAAATCGGAGGAGAATTTTTCAGCAGTTGTCGAATCAATCGCGTAATCGGTGGTTAATTTCTCGGATTCGTCGCAGCAGATGGATTTAGGAGTTTCGCTTCTTACTCTGCTCACAGTTTTCGAAGAATTTGCAAATCTTTCGAACTCTTTGAATCTCGTCAGAGATTTTTCGTTTCCTCGCGCCTCATCTGTAGAACATTGTGAAGATAATTTTCTTGCAGTTTTCGAATCGAGAATCGCACAAGCAGTGGAAGAGTTTTCGGATTCCTTGCGAAAGAATTTGGGGCTTTGCCCGCTTTTTATTCCGCCTTTCGACAATTCAGGCGATAATTTTCTCACGGTTTTCGAGTGGGCTACCACGGATTTTTCGAATTCTTTATCGAACAACTTTGGACCTCTCCGTATCTCTGGATTCTTAAAAGACTCGGAAGATAATTTTCTCAAAATCTTTGGATCGATTGCGTACGCGGTAGCAGACATTTCGGATTCCTCGCGGAAGAGTTTCGAATTTTTCTCTTTCAACGCTTTCGTTCCAGTATTCGAATCTATCGCGCAATTTATAGCAGACTTTTCAGATTCCTCGCGAGAGAATCGTGGACGGTCGTCCCCTCGCCTCGTATTCATCTCAGAATTCGAGGACACCGTCTCAGAGATCACAGCCTCGACGACCATTCCAACACTTTTCCTTCCCTCGTTCGATCTTCCATCCGAAACCTTTCTTGTTCCATCCTTGACCACTCGACACTCTCTACGAAATTACAATCAATATGACACAAGCTTTCGAAAATCCTTATTTTCCCGCGCCTCAGCCTCGTTAACTATATCTTCTGCGCCTCTACAAACGGCTCGTTCAATTCGTGTTAATCCTCGCGATGTTAGCCAAGACCAAAGAGAGGGGGAAGGGGGGAAAAGATGAGGCATGATTTTGCGTGATTCTCTTCCTTGCAGCAGGATAAAGCGACACCTTGTGGCCGTGTCTCGCTCCTCAACTGTCTATCTTTTAATTCGATTTAATTCGATACTTTGTTAAACGGATTAACGGAGAAAAGCGGCGTGAAGAAGCCACGTTGAACATTCGCCATTCGAAAGATAATTATGCAGAGAAATTCGTATCAAATTATTTCTATATTCTTTTTTTTTTTTTTTTTTTTTTTTTTTTTTTGAAAGAGTAATTTTTCTTTATTCCACGTATGCATAATTGATATAGCTTAATATCATGGCGAATAATTGTTGTTATGGCGATGATGGAGCGTTTTTTTTTTAAAATGTCCTTCGATTCCTTTCTCCAAATAGGCTTTTCAAATGTTAGGGCGGACACGTATAAATTAGAGCGGGCATCTTCCTTCTTGCGACAAACTGCTGCGCCTTTAAATTTGCCGGAAACGCGCCATTTAGACGCTCTTTCGAGGATGATCACTTCCAGGGAGGATGTATTGTTAGGCTACTACGGTTGCGTGGGTTTAAACGAGTCGAGTCTAGCCAGCGATCGCAATTATGCAACGAGAAATTAATCGGCGATAGAGAGAGAGAGAGAGAGAGGGGAAGAGGGCGAAAGCAGCGACGGATTGTTAGCACTGATTGCCAATTAGCGGCCGGGGAATTCGCATTTGCCAAGGTTCGATTTGTCCGAGAAACACGATCTGCTCGCGTGTTAAGACACTTTAGAGATCGTGAATAACGCTTTTCTTATTTTCTTTTTTATGGAATATAATTTTTTGGAAATTTTTTTACAACAATTGTTTCATATCATGAACATAATGCGTATATTTCTATCTTTTTCTTTTAAAGTTGAGGTAAGTTTGAGTTCTGAATTTTTTTTTTTTTTTTGAATTCTCTGTTTTAAATAGTTTTAAAAAGTTGAGGACGAGAGCGGTGAAGAAAGTTGGAAGATAGGTAATTATCTTAAAAACGATAGTTATCATCAACGATGTAAATTCTATATAGAATGATTATAAAAGTGTGTTAAGGTTATAATGTTAGTTATTTAATTAGAGGCATCTGTTTCGTAGTTTAGTATTATACGATTTTTTTTTAGAGAAGCTCCGAAAATTGTAAATTAACCCTGATATATTCTTTTCTTATCGCGTGAATAAAAATCTTTTAAAGTTTCAACGAAATGTTTTTACATAAGATTGAAGTGAAAAAGTTTATTAAAAATTTATTGAAAACATTTTGTGAACGTCTTGAGCATTATTCAACGCTATTGAAAAGAAATATTTTAATTTTAAATATGGAAAAAATATATATATATATATCTAGTCAAACGAATTATCTTTGATTATTTAAATAAAATAATACACCACTCTCGTTTGAATATAGAACATGGAATAGAAAGCTTTTGTAAAATTGTCCAACGTATGTATCATTTTCACAGAACGTTTCACAATTCTCTCATCTCGTTTATCTTTTATTTCTACGTACCTGGGGCTAAATTTTGCTGGAAATATTGGGTCAGTTCGTTTCTTCAGGGCGATAGTTTGGCTCTTCGTAACGTTGTTACCACGTTTCGCGTTGGCGTTTTTAAAACGTTTCAACCTTGCCTCCGCTTGAGATAACTTCTTGGTAACACTTTGTTTTGGAAGCTTGTCAGGAACATCCACCATGAAATCCTCCGGGAATTCTTCGCTCTCGAGATCGTTTTTAACACGATGCTTCAGGGTCTCGTCGTATTCCATCAGATGAAGTTTCGCCATCATACGATTCCTTTCTATCGTATCTTGGTCCACAACTTCCTCGATGTGCGTCTGCTTAAACGAAATATTGAATGACTGAAAATTCTGTTTGAACGGAACGATTAAAATAACACGTTGAATTGAAATTATACGAAGCAATATATTTATAATCTTTGTAGCAGGATTCCTAGAATAAATGGAATAGAAACACGTATGAAAAAATTGTTACATATCTTTTATATAAATTATTCTCAATTAAAAAGAAAAAAAGTCGTTCTACAGGAAATGAAATATAATTAAAATATTTTAAATAAAATTTTGAGTTTTCAATATTATAAATAATTCTTCTATAAATATATTTAACGAATATAAATAAAAATTACCATTAAATCATCCAAACATGGCAAAAGCCATGTTATATTTTCCTTCAAAAGTAATAAAACAGTTTAAAACTTGTTTAAATCGACGCGATATTTAAATTAAAACGATTAAAATAATTTTTATCGTAACGAAACTTCTATAAATACAAATTATGGGAAAAATATTTCTCGAAATTTCGCAATATTCAATTCACATCCTGTCACATCCTATCGTACGTTGAAAACGTGCGCAAGGAATGTGCACATATTTCAATAATAAAAATTTCCTCGCTTTCAAAATGGCGCGTTACCTCGTCCCTGTGGTTGCCATTCGAATATTGCGCGACGTGGTTCTCGATCCCAAACTCATCATCGTCCTGTTGGCGTGCAGAGGGGCCGAACGATTCTCGAGCGATTTCCTCGTGATACGAGACGACCGGTTTGCCACCGTTCAAATTGCTGTTCACGTCAGCCCTTGCAACCCGCTTCACAGTCACGGATTGCCGGCTCACCGTCAAATTTCCGTTCTTCTGCACACCGTTTCCGTTAGTCTGTTTCCGCGGTTTGTTCTCCAACGGCTCCAATGGATAACTTCTGTCGATCCCCTTCACGGTCGTTTGTCGTCTTTCGTCGAACATCTGCCTCACCTTAAAATCGTGCAATTACACGTGTAAATAAGCGTAAATAATTTTTCACGATTAAATACGCGTGACGAATGCAAATTTGAAATTAGAGAAATTAAGGATTAATGCGATCGAAATAATCTTTAGTTTTGAGATAAAATCATTGTTTGAAGGGAAAAGTAATCTCGAAAAATAATCAATGAGAAATTGTATTGAATTTAATATTTTAATACAATATTAATTTGAATAAAATATCTCGTAAAAGATAGATTTGAAGTTGAAAGGAAAGTAAGATTGAATTTAATAATTCAGAATTATATTATTTTAGAGAAATGTCGCTTTTGTAATATCAATTTATATATATATATATTTTTTTTTTATGAAAATATTTTTTAATTTCACATAACTGGAACAAATTTTCGGAACAAGTTTGTTCAATGCTGCTTGCAAATTTACCTTACTTGCTGACATAATTTCACTTCCCGACAAACTGGTTCCACAACAACGGGCTCACTTACGAATTCTCAAGATTGCGGTCAAGGTTCGGCAAACCTTTAATCTTCTTACTTTTCTTCTTCAATAATAAATATAAAAATTTACCTTCGTTCCATCAATCGATACACATTATCGTTTAAAAGTATCAGACGTTCTTTAATTTAAGACCAAACGTATTTTAATTATAAAAATAAGCCTGAAAATAAGAAACAAAAATACTCACTCGAGTTTTTCTTTCTTCGAATCTTTACAATTGAAAAATATATCCACTCTTGCGCAAAATCTCTTTGTATCTTAAATCTTTTCCGACTCGAAAACCTAAGTTAAGTTGCAAATAATTCAAAGATTTTTTTTAATTTTCTCTTTGCAATTTGAATTATCGAGATTGTACGACGATTATTTTACATTCTCTTCCCATAAAAAATATTTGCAAAAAATATATTTATCATAATAAATAATCAGAACTCAGGATAAAATGTTTTTAAATAACGAGCAAAACTTTGATCCATTTACTTTAACCATTATTCTAAAATAAATTAAAAATAATCAGAACGATTTAAAAAAAGTGTTTTTTTCTAGGAAATATCTACGATAAGAAATCGAATAGACGAACGTGGAAAAGCGTGGTTCACTCTCGAAAAGAATGAGACGAACGGCTGGAAAAGGCGACTCGTTCCCAGAAACATCGGCCATTAGCCCATTCAAGAAAGCGTAGCGTGAAACCGCGTTACGACAACGCGTTTCCACGCGAGGGGAATCGCTCACCTTTCCACCTTGCGAGGTCGAGGTTGCATGGCTGCTGCTCGAGGTCTTTGTGACGGTGTGCTGGCTGATGGTGCTCGTGGCATGATTCGAACTTGCGTTGCCTCGTTGCACCACCTGATAAGCTCGTTGCTGTTGCTGGTCGTAAAGCTGCAGCAACTTCTGCTCCTTCTCCTGCAGTTGCTTCTGTTGGAAGCGGGCCTGCGACAACCGCATATTTCTCTCTCTCAATTTTATCATATCTCTCGTTGGAACGAACGATTTTTAAGATTAAAATTATCTTGACTTGAATTTTTTTTAAAGAAATAGCTACGTAAATTGAGTTAAATTCTTCTTTTCTTGTCGATGGTTTAAACGACACGTGGTTCATGAAAATTCACCATTAACTTAAAAATGATTTTTTAAAGGAAGTATTATTCGTATTCCACGTTTCAACAGATTAATTTTTAACATAATTTAAAAATTGAAATATAATATTTATCTTCGAATTTATAACGAAACAAATTGTTCTTCACAAATCGAATATAAATTGATCCTCCCCTTGTCCAATGATCTAACGATTAGATCAATAATTAATTTCACACTTTTCATGTTCCAGATAAGTACCATTCATTTAATAATCCATTTCTTTTATATTTTAATTCATCAAATCTCCATCTTCCTCTAATTAAAAAATCCCTCTAGATCCCTAGATTCATTTAGATATCGCACAGAAAAATCTTCTTATCAACGAGTCACACTGTGCACACGATTTTCCTTTTCGATTTCGATTCGATCTTTCACTAACCCTCGAAAAAATATAATCATAGCGTGGCCCGCGAGTTTGACACACTGGTCGACCTACGACTCTCGGTTAACCGCGGTTCCTGCAGCGATAGTTGCACGGTCTATAGTGCGACCGATGCATACGCGGCGTTTGCACTCTACGTGCAATCTCATCGATTCCTTTTAACCTACATGTGAAGAGGTTAGTAAACCCGCTACCTAGCCAAAGCTGATGAGAATTTTTTCCCCTCATATGGTTTCCACCATTATATACTGTTGTACGATATTATTTAACTGATTAACACGCGTTTGATTCCTTATATCGATGGTATTGATTAGCTGAAAAGAAAGAACAATTCTTTTCTTTTTAATTTAAAATAAAATAATTTAAGAATTGAACATTCGTTGCGTGCATTTGTATTATTAATAACATCAGATTTTCATTGCACTCCATCCTTGATTCAATAAATCTCGAAAATAAGAGTTTAATTTTTGAATGAATGTTATTTGTATATAAAAATGAAAATATCTTTGCAAATGGCTATTTTCAAATTTTCAAACCTCTTAATTTCATGTATTTCAATAAAATATATTTAAATATACTTTACGTTCATCGATCGTGAAAGGTGAAAGGCAAATAACCCTTGACGGATCCGGAAGTTGATCGAGTATAATCGCGTTTAGAACGCGTTTTACGCAACCGATGCCGGCTTGTCGCGTCGTATAAGTCAACCGTCGGGATTCGTCTTCGTCGAAAGATCGAGCATTGTTTGATAATCAAGAGGAAACTGTTAATTGGATAGCCGTCGAATCGTTGGGCCGGCAATCAACAGGCCTGCTAATTGATTTATTCCTAATGAGCCTGACTCGCCTGAGTCGTCTCGCTTTGTACACGTGCAAATTCCTGCCTCGACCGGCCGTGAACGTGTAATTCGTAATGATAACGAGACGTTGATTGGACGTCGATTAGCGTCCAAGTCTCGTATGGATAAAACGTTTTCCCTTTCATCGATCGTGAAGGGTCGTTCCTTAGACAGTGATCCAACGATTTTTCGATTTTTCGACGAGATTTATTGAATTTTGGACGAAAGGATGGAGTGCAATGAAAATCTGATGTTATCGCGTAGAATATCGCGTAATTATATTCATTATGGCTTTTGTTCAGAGAATTTTAATATCGTCGAGGCAAATGTTTGTTCAAGATATCGATTATTTTTTTCCGTTCAAAATTGTTGTACATATTTTTAATTTGCTTCGTTTCAATATTTTCAATTAATCAGCTATTGAAGATACATTCGTTGCATAATAACGTTCGATCGATCGAACGTACGTTTTGTATAATTTTCTTTCTAGTTATAAATAATATTTCGAGTAAAACATTTTGATTTTGATAGAAAGAAAATTAAATCTATCGATTTTGATTTTTGCTTGGATCAATGGGACACTAATAATAAGCAAATAAGATAAATAACGATATTAAATAACGCTGAGATTTATTGATTAATAAATAATTAGTGTCTAAAATATATTTAAATTATATGTATACTATAATTGCCATTTACAATTTATGTGTTAACAATATAACTCCACATAACCAATTAATTGGAACTAAAGCATGTAGATTTATTATATTCATTTATCATAAGCATAAAATAATAGAAGAGAAAAAGAATGAAAACAATAAGTAAATGAGAATCTTTTATTAATACAAACGAGTAAATCTAACTTTAGAATTATGCAAATAACATATTATTGCAATATAATGTGCATGGCAGTCACATCCGGAACACTTAAGGAATCAATATAAGATAGATTCCTTTAAATCATTGTTTCCTGTTATTACATTCCTTTCTCACAAATACATATTTTCAAAATCCAAAATACTACGATCATCAATTCGTTATTACCTTTTTTTTAAAAATCTATCCAATCTTTTTCGTTTCGTTTCAATCTTTTTTTATTTTCACAATTTTTCGATTTTCCTATTTTCCATTGAACGACGAAGAGAGCCACGACGAAACATTTGGAAACAGAAACATTTGTGAATTTTCATTTTCGAAAATAAACCTGATATGGAACAGCTTGCGCGTGGGTGGAGCAGAAAATCTGACCTGGCAAGACGAGTACGTTCACCTTGCCCTTAAATAAGACTCTGGATCATCGTGTGCCGACCCATCGAAACAAGCGAGGAGGAGAGGATGCGAGAAAGGAAGAGAGAAAGAGAGAGAGAGAGATAGAGTGAGAGGAGAGGAGGACAGGTGGGCTAAGAGGAAGGATCACAGGTACATTAAAGAAACGAAGATCAACGGAGGAAAGGAGGTCGAATGCTTTGCGAGAAACCTGCAAACTGGCTTTTATCGTGGTTCAATGAGGGAAACAAAGATAAAGAAAGCAAACCAAACGTGAAAAAGCGAGATGAAGAGGCGTAGTGACAAGACGAATGAAGATGATTTGGAGAGCTTAATAGAAAAATAGAGTGCATTTCTCACGAAAAATTTTCAGATTAAGATTTGTAAACAGTTGATTTAATCAATTCTGATCGTGTTATTTTATATTAATATCTAAAACGCTATTTTATCTATCATCTATTAAATAGAAATCTAAGAATTATAAATTTTCCTATTTTCTTATTTTTAACAATAATTCTATAAAATTATTTAAAAAATGTTTCAAGAAACACGATGATATGATATTGTAATAAAAATTAATTAGCACAATATCACCACGTTATATTGAATTTTCCTGATACTAAATAATAATAACAAATTAGATAGATGTAGAGTATACTATTTTAAGCATGAGAACGTAACTTTATATTAAATAATTAAATCACCACCTCAATATAACTATTCTAATCAAAAAGTGTACCCAAAACACGAACTACACAAGTTATAATCGATAATCCAGAAACAATTATTGAAATTCCATGCTGGAAAATACTGCAACTATTCAACTTATTATTACCTTTCCAGTTAACGCATCGAAAACGTAATTCTGTGCGTATCTATTCGAAACAAAATTTAATCTCATTAATATTATTTATAAAAACATTCAAAAATTTCCTATATTCAAATTTCTTATAATCTCATTATTACGTTAGATTAAGTTAATTAACCTACTGTAATTCGTTACAAACTTATCGGCTCTTTGCTACCCTTCTTTGCTACCAAACGAGCGATCGGGGCGAACAAAAGGTTCCAAATAACGATCGAAAGGTTTTCGCAACACGGGTTGCAGAGAAATCGTAAATCAAGAACAAGACAGTGAACACGAATGCTCGTTTCGTCGGATGGAAAAGGCAAATGGGGAATCGTGGCTTGTTGTCTCGAAAACATCGGTCAACGGTACATATATATATATATATACCGGATTGCAAATATCGGGGAATGGAATTGGAGAAACTGGTCGCGCCGCATGAATGACACATGAACGACACTCGAACATCGTTTTGGAAAGCAAAAGGAGCAAAGCAGGGGAACGCAGCGTGCCTTGATACTCTATACATGGTCATGTGTGTCAGAGCCACGATACCCTGGCGTCTTCCACGCCTGGTTCAAGTGTGATGTGCGCGATCCTTTTTGGATCAGAGATCGTTGACATCGATGGGCTTTTCCCCATATACGATTTTTTTGCCTCTTCGTTTCGCTCGAGTTGAATTTGATTTTATTAACATATTTTGACATGGCAACGGATACTTTTTCCTTTCGCAACGAGAGATTGTTGCGAAATAATCCCTCTTCGATTGGAAATTTTCTTTTCCTTGTATGAAACGAATAATATAAATGTATATTTGATAAATTCTCTTTCGAATATTTTTATTACGTATCCTATGCTTTATCGTTGTCACGCTGGTTAATTAAAAAATATTTCTGAAATATAAATTCTTTTCGAAAAAATGAACTAAATATATAAGACACAAAGTAAAAATTAATTAAGATCCTTATTTATCCTTTTATCTTTATTTTCTCGAATTCCTTGTCAATATAATCATATTTTTCAATCATTAATAATTAAATTTTTCTATGAAAAATTTTCTCTTGCACGATTTTTTCTTATTATTAATTTCCTTTTTTTAAAAATATTTTTTCATCCTGGATAATTACAATATGGGAAATAATTCTGTGCGTGAAAGATAATATTAATACTTGGAAGAAACCAATCATCGTGTCAAAGTATCACCTATCATGAGCCTCCCTAGTAAATTTTCTACGCGCTGCATGTATAATTTATCCGTGTATATTCTTTAAGAATTGCGTGTAATAAAACGTGCAGTTTGTAAAGCAATATTATCACAGACAATACCATATTATTCAGATTGGAATAGATGGACGTCAATTCTTGTGCCGCCCAGGACGTTTTCATGTCCATGGAAACCCCACAGGCTTCCAGTTGTTTCGATTGGATATATCTGCCTTGTTTCTTTCGTTCCTTGCGCT